TAGTAGCCATAACAATTTTCTCCATTTTTGAATCATGCAAGTGCAAACAAGTAATTAATGTTTTTATGATAACAGAGGAGATCCATGGCAGAGACCAAAACAATTTTATTGTCTTAGATGTCATTCCTATGTTACAAATGTTTCCTTTTCTATATATTCCCTATTATGAGGTCATTTCTTTATTTCGCATTGAACTGACTTATTCTGTGCTATAACTTTTCTTAGACTTTTTTTTTGAAAAGAAATCATATTGTCATTTATGCTGTGAAATTTGCTTGTTTCTGACAGGCTGTAAACTCCAAAGGGACTGCAATGGTCTTTGAATTGCAGAGAGCTTCTCAAACCATGGTGGAATACGATAAGCAAAGGTTTTTTCCYCTGCATTTCTCATACATTTCCTCTCACTCTTACCAGGGTTTCACTTTGAGTTTCAGGTTTGCTCTAACCTCAAGAACTCAAAGCATAACTGAGTGGAAACCACTGGGTTCCTTTTCAAATGTTACATGGATGGCCTTGCTGTCAAACTCAAGCTGCATTTTTCCTGTTATTTAGTTTGTTTGGGATCTGGTGGGAATATAGACAAGATGTGGGTCCAGTCTGAGAGAGGGAATATATGGAAGAGGAAGGAGGAAGGCAGGGACCTTGGGCTTGTGAAGGTGGTTATATAAGAGAAGGGTAGAGAAAGTGAGGCCTTACAGAGGTAAACATTGGCAGCAAAATAGTCAGATGCATGGGCACGCACCAGAGGGTCAGTGGTTGCTGCCAGAAGGAGGGTGCTCGTAGATTCTCTTACGTGTCTTGTGGTTAAAATCGTTACGTTTGGCTAACGAGAGGCGAGGCCAGGAGGCACGTGCAGGCTGCAGTGTGGCGCCTGCCATGGGGCAGCCCTGGTAGGGAGAGGCGCTGTCGGCCGTGCTCCGTGCGGCACAGCCAGCCAGGCTGGGCCAGCGGGGCTGGGGATCCTGGCCTGCACCCACCAACGAGTGTGAAACCCACCCTGGAGACTTGTGGCACCGGCTGCTATTCACCCATGAGCCAGCAGCTCGGGCACAGCCTGGCAAGATCGGGCAGCAAATCTTTCCCTTCTCCCAGCTTGTCCCTGTCTTCATGCACGGGGGCACTGTCCGTGGTCTGACATCCTTGGTCATACCTTAACTAGAGAGATTCTGCTTGCAAAGTTCATGAGCATGTCTGGTTTTGTTGTTGGAATTTCAGAAACAAGTAGCATTAATATGTGGGTGGAAAAAACTGTTTTGTGAAGGCTGCAACTTGAGTCAGTCCTACTGATGAGATTGTCAGAGCTGAAGGGTGCTCTTGCACGCTCCCAGTTACCTCCTTGCACTGAGGCTATCTCTGAGCAGGGGTTCAGAGATGCGTTCTTATGCAAGAGACTAAAGAGTAACYCTTCCTTGCACCCATGTTGCTCTGAATGTGAGGGGCTGCTAAGATGAGAAAATACCCACACTTTCTTTTTGAGATTTGGATCCAAAACAGTAAGACCAGTGGTTAGATTCCTATTGCTTTTGATGGCTTGTGGATTAAGCATTGTTTCTTTCATGAGTCATATTTCTAAAGGTGTGAAGGCAGGAAAGGATGAGAGTGTAAGCTAGAAACCTCCCAGACTTGGAGACTGGGTGCCAGTCTTCTTCCCAAAACAGTTTTCATGACTTTTGCTTTCAATAGCCTCTCAGATGTCTGAGATGTATATTTGATCATTGTTGTCCAGAAAGGAACTTTTCAGTTATTGGATAAATCTTGATTTGATTATCTTTTCTTCTTTGAAAAGCAATTTTTTTTTTTTTTTTTTTTTTATGTTTAAGCAATTGAGTGCTGGAAGAGTAACCAGATGTGTTGTAAATTTAAATTGTTGCAGAAGCTGCAGTCTGTATTTTTTAAAATGTAAACTAGGTTCATGCACATGCATGTAGTTTTAATGAACTAAAAGACCTGAAAGTATAAGTAGGTGGGCTGCTTGCCCTCTTGGCGGTGTAGAGGATGAGGGCCAGCCTGCATTCACAGTAATAGTTTATTTACTATTCCTGGTACTTAGCAGTCACCATGTAGGTAAGAAAAGAGAGATTTGTATCTTTGAATTGTGAAGAAATAGAAATCAGACTCTGGATCTGTCCCGGAAATAGATCCTTTCTTAAATTTCTGATGAGAGCCTAGAATAAAGTTTACCTGACAGTAACACAGAATTGCAAACTGTAAGATTGGAGGGGAAAAGGGGGAAGAGAGAGCACCTTATCTCCTCTGCACAGATGAGAACTTGTTATTAGGTGTCTGGGTGAATTTACAGAGCTTAAGGAGAAAAAAACATGCATGTTTCTGTGAGGAAAAGCACTTAAGCATTTTCTTTTAGGAAGAGACACTCAGGAAATTTGCCATGGGGCCCTGTGTATCCCATAGTTCTGTTGCTGTGGTGTTAGCCTCATTATCCATAGATCAAACTCAGAAAAAACTTCATGATTGTCTTGTTTTACCTCTTGCACGAAGCAGGCCAAAGTTTCCCTACACAGGCTGTAACGGTGCGTGAGGCAAGGCCCCAGGGATTTTGCCTCTGGTTTGTACCTCTGAATTCAGGCTTTCATGTTTCAAATAAACATAGCAGAGATTTTTTTATTTTTTATTAAAATGCATCTTTATAAAGTGCAACTTTGCTAGGCTATAGGAATATTTGAGGAATACATATTTGTAGGATTTTAACACTTACACTGCCTGGAATGCTTATAGGARGGAGATTGTGGGTTAACACAAACATCCTTACCACTGCTTTCTCAGAYTGTTAAATGTCTACACTGGATCTAAAGTAATTCTTATACTGCATTATAAAGTTCTGAAAAACATAYACTGTTTTTGCTGTACACAAAATTTAGAAATGGAAATTTTACTGCAGCGCTGGGAGAAGTGACCCTCTTTCGGCTCAGCACGCTGTCAGCTGTGGAAATGAAGAGATGACAAGTGTTGGCACGAATGCATGTTTCACAGCAGAAATATCCTTTTAATTTATACTAATTCTTTGCCTCAAAACCACCTTTTGGTGCGTTATGAGAAGTCTGCGCTCAGCTCTCCAAGGTGCTGTAGCTTTTTTCTGCTGACAATTTCTAATGTGGTTAGAACTGCCGATACAGAAATCGCTGGCAGATTGCAAATGTGTGGGCAATGTAAAGTGAAACAAATGTTATTTCAAAGTGCGCCCAACAGGCAGTGCCGATTTGCTTGTACTGTTTGTATTTACTGTTAATTTGTAGGAGTTAGGACTTTAACTGGAACAGAGCAGCCACAGAACCTGTAGTGTGCTGCTCGTTCAGGCATTGCCTGTCAGCGCTCAGCTCCCCGGTGAAAGGCTGTTGTCAGCGCTGTGGGCAGCAAGGAGTTGTCAGGAAGAAAGTTGGGCTTGCAGCGGTGTGTTCCACCTCCATCCAAACTCTGTGTGTGTGCGTGCACAGGGTAACAACTATATTCATTTCTTGAATAAGATAAAGACAACACCACTTGTGTGAGTGCCTAACAAATGTGGTCACTGGTGATTGTTTCTCTTTTAGATCTTGAGAAGTCTTAAAGGCTGGGGCAGTCCCAATGTGCATCTTTAAAGGAGGTGGGGAGCAGCTCCCTGTGCCCTTTTGCATTGCAGATTGGGGAACCTTGAAGTGAACCCATTTCTCTCTAGTCATAGCCCAGTTCATCTTTTCTAGCAATAAATCTCCCTCAACAGCAGGGCTTCTGTTTTGTTGCTTTTAGCCCCAAGTCAATCCTTYTCTTGGTTTAGGTTCCCTCGGCACAGGGCCTGTGGGGTCTGACAGAGCTTCCTCATGCTTGGGTCAGGCTCTGACAAGCAGAAGTGGAGGCAGGGTGCAGATGTGAGCCCAGCATGAAGCAGGGCTGCTGAGGAGGAAGAAGGTTGTTCTCATCCTTGCAAAAGAGTTAATTATAGTTTGAGGGAGTGGGAAGAGTGTCCTGAAGCTGAGAATTAGTTCAATTAAAAGCGCTGTGCAGATAGACAGCATTTCTTTGCATGATCATGTCTCTTCTCACCTCGTTCTGAAGATGCAGTGGAGAAGAGAGGATTTTGCTTTACTTTTATGTGCTCTTCAGTTACACAACTTTTTTGTTTGTTTTTCTTTTCTTCTCTTTTCTTCCATGTCTCCATTCTCCAAACTGCCAGCTGCATCTATGGCCTGTGTTCCTCTGAAGTGGGTAGACTTCGAAGGTCAGAAACATTGCCAGAATTCCTGTGGTTTTTATCCAAACCCATTCTAACTTTTGCTGTTACTGTAGTTTACTCAGGGCAGCATATTATTCTATATGATCAGAGGGAAAAGCACAGGCGTTTTATATTTGGTCAAGCAATTTCTTCTCTCTCTGTAAAGAGAAAAGGAAACATAGCAGGCCTGCTTACTTTCAAGATATCTCCTTGCCAGACTTTTTTTGCAGAAACTTCCTATTGTACCCTTGTTGTGATGGGCTGATAATGAGAGCGTCTTATTCCCTTGTGCAACGCTTCTCAAAATAAAAGCATTGTGTTCATCCCTTCATCTTTTGTCCTCTTCATCTTTTGATATTTTCTGCTTTCTGGTTGAATAGTTCCTTTTTTTCTCTTCCAGTTTCCCCCTCCATTTTATACGGTCTGGAGGGCTGTATATATTTAAAGGTATTTGTAAAGTGTCTCCAGCAGAAGAGTTTAGGTGCCTGTATTCTCACACCTCTGACAGATGAAGTGGAAAGAGACACTGGGCTTGTTTTCTTGGACACATGGACRGGATGGAAGAGTGGGCAGCTGGTGAAGAGCTCTTGAAGAGTTGCCCAAATTTTTTGTTTGCAGGATAGGTTATTTCTGTCTTCCTGTCTCCTCAGTTGACAGGATTGTTTCAGTACTTAAATTGTTTTAACTATGAGTCCGTGTAGCAACCTGAAGTGATGGGGAGCTGCTAGTCACAGATTGACTCTTTCCTTTTGCAGCAGGCCGCTGCAGAATTTGAAGACTTATTGATGTCCTTGAGATTGACACTTGGACCTTCACGAGAAGAGGCTTTCTGCTGGCCTGCTCCAGTCAGTCTGACTCTGTGACTGGAAAGTTCACCCTGGCTCCATCCTTTGCTCTCCAGTTGTACAAGATGGGCTCCTTCAGGAGGCCCAGACCTCGTTTCATGAGCTCCCCAGTGCTCAGCGACTTGCCGCGTTTCCAAGCGACCCGTCAGGCTTTGCAGCTGAGCTCCAATTCTGCGTGGAACAGGTGAGCAGCACTGGTGCAGCTGAATACTGTCTGTGTGCAATGGTCAGATAAGGCCTGATCTTTGATACCTTAGGCCATTTATGGCTAAGCTTATCTGTTTATGAGCATGAATACATTTTTGGCATGCCCAGGCTTTGCCCGTATGGAAGATCTCCTGCAGAGGTGGCATATTTAGACCTAATAGTGTTTAGCCTTGTTTGGGTCTAGCATTGTTCAGACAGACTGTCTTGAAAAAGCCAGAATTGCTTTGTGTTAATATTTACACCTCGTAAATACTAGTTAAAGAAAAAGCATTGCTAGCCATGTAACAAAGGTTAATTTCTTAATGTAGCAGCGTGTTGTGAAACTTTTACCATAATCAAGTTCCTTTGACCACATGAAATTTGTGTCTTCCACTGACCTTTCTTATTGATAGTCAAATCCTGTCTGCAGTAGATATCATGCCTCAATGAATACTGGAAAAATGACTTGTAGGATGAAATGTGAAATACCCTGAATTGATTTAAGGGCTTGTTGCTGCTGAAAGTGAGTGTTTCCACCTTTCCTTCTTCTCCCTCGCACCAGTCCATTAACTGGACTTGAAAATGTTTCTGTCTAAGTGATGCTTACTACAGAACTTGTTCCAGCATAGCAAGGATCCTGTCAAATGCTGTAGGTAGTTTGCCTAGTCATTCTAACAACACTTGATATTGCAATGTGATATGCCTGGCACAAAATAGCAAAAATCCAAGTCTCCTTGYAACAACTAGCTCTGGAGGACCTAGCAGAGATCAGCTAAACAGTCACACTAAAGATATGCKCCAGGTATATCTTTATATTCAATGCAAGTGTATTCTTTGAGAACAGGATCTCTATTACAGCTTTCCTTTGCTTACTGTATGCCCAGCTTAACATTGGTTGTGCTCTGTCTCCCTTGGGAGATTGTAGATAAATAAGAGTGATGATTTCCAGGGGAGAAAAAGTGGAAGTATTTAAGTGCAATTAACCTCTCCACCCCCATTATAACCACTCAGCTTTTGGCAGCTACTTCACATTGCTCTCTGTGTTAAATCATCCTGGCAGGTGTTATTTATGAATGCTCTACTGTCTGTCTTCTTTTTTTGACAGTGTTCAAACAGCAGTGATAAATGTGTTCAAAGGGGGAGGCTTGCAGAACAATGAACTTTACAYGCTCAATGAAAATATCAGGTAGGTTGCTGAACTGCATGAAAAGGGATTTTTTTTGTTGCTGGTTCTTTGATGTTTGTTTGATTTTGCTTGTTTTTTATAGAACAGCACTTAGAGAACATTGGTAGGAGAAGAAGGGGTAGAAGCAAACTTAAGCACAGCTTTGTACTTTCAGGCTAATTTCACGTTGAGTGGGATGAGACTAAGCTCTTGGATAGCTTTTCTCTGATTTATGTGGATGTGTAACTTGCACATAAAAGGACAGGGAAAAGGACAGGGTGTGTATTTACTTGTACACAAAGGATTTTGTCCCTTCCTGGGGAATTTGCCCCTTCTGGCTGACTTTTTCCACGGTTTTATCAGTTATGGCAGTAACATGTCTTCTAAAGCCAAACTTCCCAGAATCATGGAGTGTTTAAAAACAAAGCACAAAAAACTCCATAAGAAAAAAACTTCATGTGGTGGTTATGGACTGAGACCTGAAATTATAAACTCTGAAGATTAAAAAAAATAGAAGYGTAGCAAACAGGTACTAACACTGCTGACAGTGATGGTTAGAAGCATCACCCTTTTTAGCAGGTCTTCTGTTTTTCTGTGGCTTCATTGTGGTTATTTGGAAAGTTTAGTTATCAATAGACAGAACTAAAAAGGAGATAAAGAACAATTTATTCTTGTCTTGGTCCAAGTGATACTAAGAGGAATGTTACCAGAGCTTATGGAGGCAGTTTTTCCTCCATCTTTCTTTCCCATGAATCTGTATTCATTCATCTTTAATGTAGTCACGTATGTCTCGGCTTCCTCTTTTATATGGAACCCCCTGCCCCAACCCTTGCTGCATTTCTGCTGTGGGCCAAGTTGTGGTTAAAGTTCAAATGACTATTCAGGTTGAGCCCTTATTAAGCAGTAGTCTAAATTACCCCCTTCCCTACTTTCAAAATGAATGCAATTTGCAGAGCATGAGATTCTCTCCTACTTGATCTGGGCACAAAGGTGAAAGACTTGTAAAACTCCTTTGGAAAGCTGAGGGAGGGGAGGCCCTTGTGCTTCCACAGCATCTTAGCACTTAGGCCAGGAACTCTTGGGTTATGCACCAGTACTTGCAGCAGTCTAATCCTCAGTTAGGTGAAGAATACTGTATATGAAAGAAAAAGAAATGTCTTAAGCCTTTGAAAATACCCTGATCCACAGCTCTTTCACAGTCTTGGAGCCTGGGTTTGGGTTTTGTCACTGGTCTCTCAGGCCACGGCTCACTGCAGTGGGGAGCTCCCTGCTTTCCCTCCTCTGTGCAAGCAGGTGCTCCTACTCACCCCACATGTCCCTGCCTACCCCATGGCCCCTGTCCTCCACCCCTCACCTGGCTRAGAGCTGCCGCTCACAGCTAGGCTGCCTTTGGAATCATAAGCTGCCTGTTGTGAGTTGCTCTGGCCTCATTGATACAGGCAGAGGGAAGCATCRCAGATGGCATTAGAGCACTTGTGCTCTCACTCACATGGGAGGTAATGCCAGCTTTTAACAGGCTCAGAGAAAGGTGTTGGGTCACTGGAGCAGCAAGCTGTCCCTCAGTAGCCTTTCTGTCTACTTTCCGGAGACAGGGAGGCAGTGTGCCAGGCAGAGTGGCCTTGCTGACTGATTCTGATCCTGTGCTGGACCATGCTCTATTCGTGTTGGTTACTGAAATCAATCCAGTTGGTCAAGAGTTGTGTGAAGAACAGGAAGTTCTTTGTGAAATTTGTATGCTTTATGAGCAGTTCTCATGGTGGCAAGGGAAATAACTCTGTTCCAGATACAAGCACTCACAAGCAGCACTTGGAAGCACTCACCTTGAAATAAATGATTAATGTTCCTACAGGTGCTCTGAGCACTGGTTACATCTCAAATGTCATTCTCTAAATAGGCTACTTCATCATTCAAGTAGCTCATTAACATCAGTGTGAGGCACGGAGGACATGCATCTGCSTGTATACGTGTGTCCTGCTTGCAGCTTCACACCGGGGGTTCCTGAGAAAGCTTCCAACAGAATGTCAGTGCCGCGTGTACCATGTAAGTGGCCAGCTTGACCTGTGGAAGAAGGCCAGCTCTTGTGCACCATGACATAGAGCTGCTGTGTTTCCTGGTTTGTGTTTCTCCATCCAGATCATGGGTGGAAGTTAGCAAATGCAGGACCTTAAAAGAATTATGGATTCTGCACAGTGCCTAATTTGACAGTGGGAATGCAGAAGAGTTTTAAATTGGGGTAGTAGCGACAAGACCAGGAGATGAACAGGTGGTAACATTTTGCTCTGGATTGGTGCCACAAGGTTTTTACCCTGCTATGATTTGGTGCCATCATCTCACTGGGCACTTTTTTTTTTTGCTGTTCTCTAAGTTAGTTGTCACAACTTCTTGAAGACAACTTCTTCATAAGAGGAAAAGTCAGAAATGTCACTGAGAGATGGGACTCCCAGGAAGCAGGAGGTGACCTGGCCACTGCCACTGGGAGGCTGCAGAGGTTCTCTCTGGAGTGAAAGCCTTCAGCTGAAAGGGTAGCTGGCCTGCTCCATGGACTCAAATCCCCACATGGATGTGTGAATTAATTGACCACCTCTCTCAGAATGCAACTGAAACTAGCAGATATGCTTCTCAAACAGGTCCGTCTGTTTTTGAGAATTCTGCAGAATGCAGCCCTAAAGGCTCATCTCGCATGGTCATAGGAAAAGACATGTGCTTTGAGGTGGACAGTGTAAATATAACCACTATGAGAGAAAGCATATTTCCATGTGGATAAAAGTAGAAGTTTTACAAAATATTTAGAGAAGAAGACTGTTGCCAAAATCTAATTTCACCAAAGATTAGGGAAAAAATGGTTTACTCTGTTGGCAGGAACCAAGCCTGAGACTCGGATGTGTCCCTGATTCAAATGGCACATTCAAACACTCATGATTGTACCTCTTGGTGAAAAGCAAAACTCTTACAGAGCAAAAATGCATCACTTTGCAGTGGAAAGTATAAGACAATTTTTAAATTTGAAGCAGAATTACCAGCTACAGTCACTGACAGCTGAAAGTGCAAATGCTCTGAACATTTTAGTTTAAATCAATCCTAATTTTTATATCAGAATTCTGAACTATAAATACATTGCAGAATTGAAAAATGTTATTGTAGCCGGTTTTAAAATCAAGTTTCTAATTAGAAACATATGATAAAAGTGGCTTCTGCCTGCATATAATCAACCTGCCTCTTGTTCAGTTTCTACAACTGATCTCTTGAGAAACGTGGGGTTTTTTTGTTGTTGTTTTGTTTTTTCAATGCGGTGATTACAGGGAAGCCTCAGCTTCTGCTTGCATGTTTACTCTTGTGCTCCTCTTCGTCATTCAACCACCTTCTACTTCCAAGAGAAAAGGAAAAAAGGAAGTACAGCATTAGAGATACGTTCTTCACAGTGAAATGAAAGGGAACTTTGTTTAAAGGAAAATGAGCGGAAAAAAAAAAAGAATTTCTAAATAGAGAAATCCATCTCCCTGTGAATACAGGGAGTCGTGTTTTTCTTGCTTGTTTTAGATGTATGGCTTATAATTAAAATACTTCAGGGGAGCTATTTCACTCCTTTGTGATTTGAGCACTGCCTCTGCTGGCCTTGGTGCAGAGTATGCTCAGATGTAAACAGAGCATAGCTGCGGCTGCAGTGCCACGTTCTCGTGTCCTCCTGTGTCCTGGCCGTGGCTGGCAGCCAAGTGTAGCTGTGCCTGGGAGAAGTGACCAGCAATGGCTGTTTCTTCATGGATATGTTCCTTCTGTCTGCAGGCGGCTGCTGAAGAGTGAGCTCGGATCCTTCATCACAGATTATTTCCAGGTATTATGTGATTTCCTTTTCTCTTTTGAGGTGTGTTCTCTGCAGCTGTTYAGTAAAATAGGGTTAATGTTAAGTAGTAGCCTGCTAGAGTCAAAAAGGAGTTCACTTCATAAACTTTTTAAAAAGATGGGGTACACTGTTGTTCTTTTTTCACCTTAATATTCTCTAGGAAATAGAATACTAAATGAGGTTTCCTGAAACAGGAGCCAGCGAAGGGCAAAGGGGAAGAAGAAAGATAATGTCTTTCTGTTTTGGACAGGCAGAGAAGGAAGTCCCTATCAGCAGGAAATCAACCTGGTTACAGTTTGCCTTTTGTTCCCATAAATATACTTGTAATCTGTGAAAGATGAAGGATTAGGAAAGATATAATCAATCACAAATATGAGTAACTGTTAGTGCCTTTTACTGATGCTCTCCAGACAGAGGTTGAAATGTAACCACATGAAAGAGTGTATTTTGAGAGAATGCTGGTGGCTTCAGTATTAAAGTTGTTCATTCTAGCATTGATCTTAAAAAAGGGAAGAAAAGAGGGATTTTTATGTTGTTGATTTTATTCCTCTTGAGTAAGAAAGAGAAAGACAGAGAATATCAGTACTTCCAAAAGTGGCTGACGCTGCTGTCTGCTGTGCCAACAGTTTAGAAGATGAAAAAAAAGACTGTTGTTGTTTCCTATCAGTATTAGATGACATGACTTAAAAAAATTCCCCGCGCTGTGCTGTCAGGTGAGAAACAAACCCCTTTCCTGGGGGCAGTTACGTTTCATTTACTGGAAGGAGACGGCAGCTTTTGCTTCAGGGCAGGCTGGTTCCTCAAGTGTGTGTGGAGCCGGGTGACAGCAGGCAGGGAGACACCCAGCACGAGCTGTGGCGTCGCCCTCCGTGCAAATCCGCTACAGCTCCTGCTCATTTAAAAACAGATAAGTGGAACTTTGCAGCTAAGTGTGCATGAACACTTGAGATTTGGAAGGGCGTTGTCAAGTATCCAGCAACCCCAGTGACAGGCACGGTCTGGGTAATGTAGAATATTTCCTGAGGCACCTTTGTGCATTTGGAAGGCTGAATAGCGCACAGAGTTGTGTGCGTTGCACAGGGACGTGAAGTGCTGACATATGACTGTTATCTGCTTTCAAAAATTCAGTGTGTACCAAAAGAGGCCTGGTCGGGTTCCAGCTCTGAATAAGATGCAGCTGCGCTGGGTCACGGGGCAGGATGAGCCGGAGACTCCTGGGGCTTGGATGGCTCAAAGCATTGGCTTTTGGATATGTTGTTCTCTTCCTCCAGACTGTAAACCTCAACCATGCCCCAGTCCAGCTGGAGTTGGTGGCATTAGCTTATACTCCTTAGACCTCTCAGCAGGAGAGTTAGTGATTGAAGAGGCTGTTTAGACTGTAGTCTGCTCATTCCTGGACGCTGGACATCTAGACTGGAAATGCATCCCTATTAGTAAGTCTGAACTTGGGAGAGGGATTTTATCACTAACACTGTTTTCTGGAAAAGTCAGGTCAAAAGACATGTGCTCTCATCTTAGTGGCAGAACTACATTACTGCATTCAAAGGCCATGGTCACAGTGTATCAGTGCATGTCCTCAGCGCTGCACTGGCGCGGGGGAGCAGCGGCCTCTGCTTCACAGAGCTGGCAGGATAAGGGCCCGCAGTCCTGCATTTGTTTTGTTGTCACTCTGGCTATTCTATGTTATATACACTTGTGCCAATAACTCAGCATGTATGCACTAGTTCAGTTGCAGTTACTGCTGCTTTCCCACTAAAGTCACTGATCACTAGAATTTAACCTCAAGGGCCTCTTTTTTTTTTTTTTTTTTTTTTTTTTTTTTTTAAACTCCATCCATGTTGAAAAAAAGTTACTTGGCACCTATCAGACTTGGCCTGAAGTAAAACTTTTGGTGCTGGCAAGCCATGAGGCAAACAGTGTGAGATTAAGGCTATTGCGGGATTTTTTTTTTTTCTCCCCTTGCTCTGAGCTAAGATGCAGACATATTTCTGATGCTAGATTGACAGCACACACCAGTGATAAAAGATACTATTCCTTCCTGAAGGGCAAGAATCCCAGGGCAGTGGAAAGGGAAAATGGACTATTTATGTTGCACAGAAGGGCTGACAAAACTATTTCATTTGCCTGACGGTTCAGTGTCACTGCTGATGCCAGCTGATTTGAGGCTATACAGCTGCCACCCAAGACAGCAGAGTTGAATCAGACTGCTGATTTGACTAAAAAAAATAACCTTGAAATAAAGATAAAAAACTTATCAGTCAGTAGAGCTACCTCATTTGACTTGTGCTCAGCATCACTGACATAAAGATGACAGCAGTGGGTCACCAGTGTAGGGAGCAGAGTGAGGCTGTATCTTTTGGCAGCAACTTCCTCAAAGCCYGCTGAGAAATTGTATCCTGAAAACCTTAGTATAAAAACATGTATCCTGAAAAATCCCTTGCAGTGCACCTGGCTTGCAGTGCGTCTGGCTTGCAGTGTGTCCTGAACGATCTCTTCTCAAGAGCAGGCAGGCAGCCTTAAGTGCCCCAGCAGCAATTAGAACAACTAACTGATTCATGTAATTTTTGGCTGTGATACATTGACTTACTCACTTTCCATTTCTTATGCCATAGCATTTGTAATCGAGTCCACTGAGATAATGTTGGGATTTGGAGGAAAGGGGTATCCTGGCCACTGGGACTTCCTGGGGGCAGCCTTGGATTTCTGGAAAAGCTTCTTTCATCTTCATGTTTTCTGGTCTCCTGGTTGTGAAGAATTTTTTTTTAATATAAAAGCAGTAAGCACTGATAAGATGCAGTGCCTTCCTGATCCTGCCTTCAGCCTGAAACCAAAGGCTTGACAAGGATGAAATGTTTCTTTTCACTCTTGAGGGTCTTATTAATTCTGAAACTCACAGAGGCGAATAACAGTGCTGGCCATTTCACAGCTGCTCATTTAGCAGCACTGGTTTATGTATATTAACTGCAACTGGATTTCTGAAGTACAGAGACGAAACCCCTTATCTAGGTACTGTAACATCTACCAGCACTCGTGGGTTGCAAATGCAGAAACTCTGTTGCTGAGTTAATACCTCACCAACTTGAAGACCATTGGCTACAATGTCAGGATTGGCAGCTGAAGGATGGTGAGTTGATTGTATTTGCTCACTTAATTCAATGGGAGCTTTGATATCTTAAAAACAGAAGTGAAGCTATTACATAATTTCCAGTCTGTTGCTGTGGAGGACCATAGAAGTCAAGAAGTCTTGACTCAAAATCAGGCGCTGCTTTCTGTTTATAGGAAAACCATATAAACCACAGTCTGCAATGAGACCCATAAGGTGTCAAGCGGAGCCAAATGAAAGATTATAATGAATATTTGCAAAAGTAAGCAGTAACACTAACAGCACAAGCCCTGACCTAAACCAAATGATTTTCCTTTGCCCTCTCTTTAGAGCTGTCGGAAAGAAGCCCTGGTGCTGTGCACTGCAGTCAGGCTCTGCTGTGTAGAGAGCCCCTTTTGCCACAGGTTGGCCTCCTGGGTGACAGCTGAGCTTAGGGACAAACACGCACTTGTCCCTGTGCTGCAGCCATGTGGAGCTTTCTGCCTGAAGCACTGTTGCATGCCTCTAACCTGACCAATGTCCCCGAGCTCTTCTCCTTTGAAAGTCTGCATTGCAGAGCATTGCTGGCAGTAGAAAAATGTTGCGTGTCTCTCTCCTGCTCAGTGAAACAGAAAACTGGAGTGTGTGACATTTCATTCATTGGCCCCCGGTCTCTATTTTTGCCTCTTTCATAATGAGGCATGGGAATGGTTGTTTAGGTATTGAAATGTTAGTGCTACTTGATAAAGACATCGCTAGCTCTTATGTGACAAAGTGCAGTCTCATGCTGGCTGCCAGTGGCTGCAGCAGTTTGGCCACTGGTGAAAAGGAAAGAGCTGAGACTTGGGTGATTTGCAGAGTGCAGCCATATGTCTGCCACAGGCTTTTGGGTCGAGCTGCTCTTTATTATTGCAGTGCTCTTCCAGCTGGCTGGGAAGCCCAGTTCCCTCAGGTCCACCAATTATTTCTGCTTCATCTGGCCCTTTCTAGCACGGGCCCTTCGTGGAGCAGCTCCAGGGGCTCCATAGCAACTGCCTGGCCTCGCCATGGTGGGGCCCAGGGCCGCTCTGCTCTGTGCACGTGGGCCCTGTGCTGGCGCTGCCGGCAGAATGCCCTGCACGCCCGCTCTGTGCATGCGTGAGTCACTTGAAGCTCCCATGTAAGCGTCCCCGYGGGGCTGCGTGCCAGGCTGGCTGTCCCCTGGGGCTCGGGCTCGCCGCGGAGAAGCTGCGTGGAGCCGCGGGGCTCCCTTGCTCTGGCTGCTGCCATCTCAAGGCTCTGCTTAGACTGTTCCTCTGCTCTCCTTACTCCCACTGCAGCACTTTCTGCTCAGGTGGGATTTCTTTTCTACTTATGTTTTGAACAAGGCTGACTGAAAGAGTCATATTAGGATATTATTTCTGGTTTTATGTGGCAGTATTTTTTCTGTGTAGGATTAAAATGATCTCCCTTTCTCTATCACTGCTTTTTCCTCTTCCTAGAAAAAAAAAAATCCCCAGTATTTTTGAACAAAAAAATCCCCAATATTTTTGAACAAGGTATTAACACTATGGCTCATACAGACTTGCGTTTTTAAAACCCTGTCAAAAAGGAGGGAGAGTTTGTGTGCAACTGGCAATATCTTGCTGGAAAATACCTTTGGATGATTTTCTTTTTTTTTTTTTTTCCCCTTTAAAATTAACTTGAGATTGTCCCAAAGGAAAAAAGTGACTCTGTGCTCCTTCTAGAACCTGTGCGGTGTCAGTTTAGCGCCAGTGTTCAACGTTGGTTTCTGGGGTGTGGAGGGAGTGGCACTTGAGTGGTGAACTGTTTACAAGAAATTCTTTTTTTATCCAGCAAAATTGGGGCAATTATTCTGAGTTTTCTCTGGAACAATTGACTTTCCTTCTGAGTTTGTTTCTCATTGACAAATTAGTATTGATTTTTTTCAATTTTAATGTGGCTTTTTAAAGGCATGCTGGCTATGTTTAGCTGGAGAAGTGAAAGGAAAAGACAAGTTGTTTGTAATTAAGCAGCTATCCTTGTAAACTTTTCCTTTCCCCAAGTGTAGTGGCTCATTGGGAAGCAGTGAGCAGTGAGAGTTAACAAGAGGACTCTGATGCCTTGMTGACGTCCAGAGCCATGACTTGTCTATAAGATATGAAATTTCTCATGATGGCAGAGAATTCCTTGCTGTTCTCTTGGCAGAATGGCTCAGTTACATTTCCTAACCCTCTTGCTTGAACACAGCACCCACAGCAGGTCAAGCCACGCTGGGATAACTGCCCCTCAGCAGCCCTTGCTAGCTCTGCTAAGAGGCTACCACCATGGCCAGGTGCAGCACCTCCTGGCAGGATTAACAGGACTGGTTAACAGGAGCCCTTGGGGTTTGCTCAACAGGCCTCTCAGCCAGCGCTACTGCTGCTGCTGGGCACAGCTGGGACACTGCCAGCAAGGGCACTGCCAGCAAGGGCGCTGCGGGGACCAAAACTCCTGCCCAGGATGCAGGGGAGGCCACGGAGTCACCAGCTGCACCAGTGCAGCCGGAGCTCAGAGAGGTGCTTTCTCTGGGCCCAGCTCTTAACGCCTGCCACAGCCTCCCGCTTTGGTCTTTGCACTGCAGAGACCCTCTGMATTCGTCCTCTGGCTAGAGACATGGAAAACACTTGCCTCGGTCCCTCAGGAAGGGAAGGGAATATGTCTGTCCTGGGTCAAAGAGAGAATTACTGGTAAACTCTCTGCATTTTACAGCATGGCATGYGACTCCCATCAGAATATATATATTATTTAAGCTCTCTATTATTTCAGCACAACTTATTGAGGAAGAATAATGAGCACATGAAGCTTGTGGTAGGGAGCTTTCTCCTGCACAATAAATCTGTGCTGAGGAAAAACAATCAAAATTGATTTTTCTAAAGTTTTGAATCCTGGCTTCTGAAACTTTGAAAGCTTACTTAAACTTACTCTCTGTTGTCTGTTTGTATTCGGGGTATACCTGAAAGAGCCACTGTGGCYTTCTGCACATACTGAGAATATGAAGCTTTCAGCCTGCAGAATATTACCCTTATCTCACAGTATCACCCTTATCTCTTCAGATTTATCAACTGCATTTACTTGGGGGGGTTAACTCAGACTTGTGTTTCTCTGTAGTCCCTATTTCATTGTAGAGAGAGCAACGGCGGGTTTGTGGCACCCATAGTGAGACTGTAGCAGCCAGGGTATCCTAGCAGCAGGGTTAGGACCACACTGCAGGAATCTGGGAAAAGCTGTTTTGGGAAGGGAATAAACCCGCAGTTAGGCTGTGATTGCAAAGACACAGAAGGCAGCAGTTGAACTTTTTTTTGCATAAATGTGTCCTTCAAGCTCATTTAGTATGATCTGTGTATTTGGTCCTGCTTGTGGATATAATATTTATTTTCCCTCTTGGCTGTGTCCTTCTGCGTTGCCTGTGGCAATGAGGGGTAAAGCAGTAACGAGGTAGACAAGGTCTGATGCAAACTCCCCCTGTGGCTGCGTTGGATTGGAGTGATTTGTCTGCAAGCAGCGGAGGACTTTYGGATGCAAACATGTCTGACTTGCTTGATCTAAGGGGGTGATGTTTGGACTCAATACCTATCTAAGGTGCTGTCTTTAACAGAAGAGACAGGTTAAGTAAAATTTCCAGACACATTCCAAGATTGGAAGTGAAAAGAAGTGGTGGTTGTTGCTAAGTGTCTCTCTTCCCTAGAAAAAATGAAAATTAGAGGGGATAACTGAAACATCTGCAGCAGCTACATGCTTATGGAACTAAATGTTTTTTAGAAAACTTAAGAATGAGAATGTATTTTAGTATAGGGAATTAGTGATGGATATGTTCTAAACAGCAATATTAATTCTTCAGGATAATGATAAATATATCTAGTTTTTAATACATTGAACTTTGCTGCACACTAAGGGATGTAAATTCATATTATGTTTGCTGACACAGCTTTAACGTAGAAAAGATCTCTGAAAGTAGAAAATGTTAATAATACTGACTGGAAAATTGTATGCACATGACTAAGGAAGAGTATGTAAATTGAAACCTAGTGTGCTAGTACAGATAGAGAAGGCTTCATATTTCTTGAGAGAAACAGAAGAAAATGAGTGTGACATCCTCATTAATTTGTATGTATATTTTAAATTATAGAATAGTTTAAAATGACTGAGTATTAAAAATGAACCATAAATTTGTGCTGCAGTGTATAAAAACTGTGAGCACTGAGTGCTGATGGAAAAACAAAGAATTGAAATATTTTCTTAATAAAAGAAAGCGTATGGAAGGATTGAAGTGTAGCATCCCCACAAGCATTATCTTATTCTTCAGATAGAAAAAAAATATTTATAATGTAAGTGGGCTTATATTTTGGGTTTTTTTCCATATATTTTTTCGAYTCCAGATATCTTCTCCCTCCTCCTTTTTCACATTTTTACTCATTTCCTTGAAAATGTTTAGTTGTTATTTTTAGACCAGACCCTAACAAGTTGTAGTCATTTATTTCTGCTGAAAAAATCTAAAATATGAATGTAGATCTAGACAGCTTGGTGTCTCTCCTCAAAACTTTTATTTCTATACTGGAAAATTTGCAGTCACTTTCCACTGGTTGATAACAGTATTTGAAAATATTGCAAATTTTGTGATTCCCCTGAATGGACCCATCCTACTGTTGCTCACTGCTCTTGCCATTGCCTAGGTGAGAAGTGTCTGCCAGTTAAGTTCTCTGTGTAGCTCACCCCTTCCTTTGGCAGTCCCCTCTCACCCCTACTCCAGTAGCAGTGACTCTCAAGCCTAATGCTAACCTAACCAGAGAGTGAGCCCTACTACACAATTGCCCAGATGCAAAATTTCTGTCTCACAAGTTATATCCAGAGTCCAAAAAATGCAGAAAGTGGACTTTTTCAGGAGAAATCTGTGGTTTTTTAGGTACAACTGAGAGAGCTGTTGTGAGTGGGCTGGTAGGACTCTTGAGTAGCAGATCTTTCTCCTGCATTGGAGAGTGAAGTTTAAGTGCAGTGTATCACAAACCAACATTTGTTTTCCTTTTTAAAATCCCTCCAGTAACAGCACAGTTTAGTGTCTCTTGTCCTTGAGAGGATGCTTGAGAGGGGAGCTGCTCCCTGCTTGTGCTGGCTCGTACTTGTACCTCTTTTCATGTATCACCGACGAGCCCGTTCTCCTGMCACGTGGCTTTAACAGGAGGCAGAGCACAGGGGCAGGGCTGTGGCCAGCAGCTCTTCGGCGGCTGTGTTGGAGCAGCAGTCTACAGTAAAGTGTTCACTGGGAGCCATTGCCTGCCTTCTCTGCTGGTGGAGGGGTTGAAAGGTACGACTTTGGCACAGTTATCCATTAAAAACAAGTGCTGGGAGGATAGACATTAGAGGCCTTGACTGTTGTGTGACAAGCTGATGTTGAAAGCTTTCAAAGGAACAGAAGCTTTACTTGCTATCAGTGTGATCTCTGTGGTAGAAGCAGACCTTCTGGGAAGCAGTAATGTTGCAGYACCATTCTGCAACTCCTTTTTTTGAGATTCTCAAAGCTTTTCAGAATAACTAACTTCCACAGTACTCTTGGGAGAAGAAAATGGTAAGTATTATAAACATTTCTTTTACATTTGGGAAAATAGGAGCAGAAAGCCTACAGGCCAGATATTAGATACTGAGATGTCCAGAACTGCAATTATCTTGGTTTGGTCCATCATGATAAAGGTTATTTAGAAAGACTGTGGCTGCTACCTCTTTCTCATGCAGCTTAAGACTGCACACTGAGATAATTCAGTTGGTTAATAAAGCAAAAAATGGACTGGTAAATGGACAATATTCTGTTCTTGGGTTAGGAATTGATTTATTGTATTGATTTATTATGCAGTCAGGCAATCACCACACTAGTGCAAAGGAAGAGCAGAGTGTGATGTTCTGATAATATTTAACTGTTTGATCACCTACCATATGGCTGAGGTGTGGCTTATGTGGCTGTGGTTTTGAGTTTAAAAAGAGAAAAAAGTGTTTTCTTAACTTCCTCCCTATGACCAGGAGAAGTTTATTCCATGTGGTGCAAACCAGTTCTGGGAAGTGTCTCAGGTATCTAATGTGCCCTCTGTGTTCTCATTTCAAAGAGTGTAAATGAAATGTGTAAAACTCGCAGTGAGACCAGGTCTGGTGGCAGTGTCGTGAGCAACTGTGACATGACTAATGTTACGATGCCTGCATGTAAAGAGAACAACATTAGAAAAAAAATGTATTCTCCCATGTTAATTTTAAACCTTGGAAAAGACAAATGCGTGTGTCTCTTCTCTCTTGGCAGAACCAACTCCTTGCGAAGGGCTTGCTGTTTATAGAGGAGAAGGTTAAGCTGTGTGAAGGCAAGTATACTAAGAAACCCACTTTGAAATGTTCATATCCAACCATTCCATTATTTCTGAGAATTATGAAAATTAAGTTCCAATCTGTAATAAGGTGGGAGCTGCTTGGAAGTAGGTTGATGCTGCTCAAAGAGTTTGGGAAAGATGAAGTTTCCCGGGCAGGCAGCAAACCCCCCTACTTTTGGGCAGCAAACCCCTTACTTTTGCTTCTTTTTGATGGCCCTAATTTGAAGCAGACCTGGAGCCACTTTGCCATGTAGACTGTCACCTCTGCTGTGAATGACTCAGATGCTTTCCCCTCACCTTTCTTTTGTAATGTGTAGCCTCATTCCAGGTCTTGTGGTCACAGCAACGGAATTTCTTCTAGGTGCTTCTCAGTTAGCTTTGCATTCCTGGAAGAGAGCTGCTATTGCAATACTTATAGAGGGAAAGAAGKTGCTGCTGCAGGACATGACAGTGTTTTACTGTGCCTGTTTTTCAAATCACAGGCTTTTATTTTAATGTCATTTTTCTTGATACAGTCTGCCAGAATCTCTTTCAATGCCTGTAGGAGATAAAATTTCTGGAAGAAACAAACCATTCCTCCTTCCCTTTCAGAAGACAGAGTAATTTATGATTCAGGAGTAATTTAACTGGTATTTCATTTTAKCGCTACGCACCAAAATGTTAGAGTTCTAGGGAGGAAATAGAATAGGGAGACATTCAAAACTAATTTTGTCTGTTTCCKGTTTTCTTTTTCATCTAATGCCAGTTTCTGGTAATGGGTAACTGTGATAGGGGTGTTGGGTAGGTGCTTGTGTGTTTGCAGTCCCGATTTTGAAGCCAGCATGGCCTCTGGTACAATAAAGCCTTGCACTCAGCCCTCCTGTAGTCTCTGATGAAAAGGAAATGTTTTCTGAGTCTGGCTCTGTTGGTTCTTTGCCTTCTGGCTTGTCTCTTTAAGTGAACCTAGAGGCACAACTGATGGACAAGAAAAGTCAGATGAGAAAAACACTTCAGTGCATAACTCATCTGAGTTGCAGTTTTATATATAATTATTAAATATGGCTCTGTATTTCCACTGATARTGTTTGGGGGAGGTGATCCTAAATTGAAAGAAACACTGTAAACACTTTACCTTTGGGATGTGAAGAATCTTCTAAAAAGCTTAGAGGTCTTGGACATAAATGCTGAGAAACATGCACAGCTCTGTAAGTCAAACATATGAGTATAATTTGAAATGTCTGTGCAAAGTACCAGGTTGAGTAGAGCATTTTTGCTAATACTAGCCTTTTGACCACAGCTGTATTCTTTTTATGGGAGTCAKGAGTAGCAGAACTTAGTCTGCTTCSATTTTAAACACCCACTTACATTTAGGAATACTTGTTGGAGCCAGATTCACGGGAGGGGTGGCCATAAGTGGATTTCGCTTGGGATTCTTCCCAGTTGCCAAGTATGAGAGGAGCATGGTGGCATTGTGGTGGCTCGCCAGTCACGAGCAAACATGCCTGCAAGAGTTACAGCTTCTGTGGCTCTACATGGGAGCGTACAGCCTCCTGTGTGGGGGAGGCTGGAGAGAGCTGCGCTCTTAAATTTGCCTCCTTGACTCAGTTTCAGCAGAATAGCCAATACTGCCTGCGACCTCCTCTTTTTCAATATGAGCTGCTAGCAGTTCCTGTGTGAACAACCTTATGTCTCTGTAACTTGGGGCAAATCTTAACTGACGCAAGTCCATTTTTTTGGAGGGACACTGCGAACATGAAGGATGGATTTGTAGCTCTTGCTTGGGAAAGCAGGGGGTAATGGAAAAATCCAGCTTGACTTTACTGTTTCTTTTGCTAAAGGACCTCTTTTCTCCCCATCTCTGTTTTTTGTAGGTGAGGATCGCATTGATATCCTGTCTGAAATTTGGGATCAGTACTTCACAGAAACCCTTCCCACACTCCAGGCAATATTTTATCCAGTTCAGGTAATCTTAATTAAAATTCAAARTTAACTGCCTTTAGAGGCTGATCCCTGAGTGCTGTGGTGCGCAATGGATACCTGAGTTGTGTCTTTAGAAAAACCTCTCTTGGGTTTTAGATTTTTTAGTAAAGGAATGAGTAAGTACCTGGGTAGAAAATAAACAAACACTTTATACAAGACTGCTAACCAGCTCTATTATGAAAACTGTATATTACTTCAGCAATGTTGGCCTGTATCAATCCTTTATGTAGTTTTGATCAGAGTTTCCAGTAATAAGTCTAAACAGCTCCCCTGTCTATTTTGATCTTTTCTCCAATCATAGGAGAAGCAAAAATGTTACTTTTGGGTAGAATGACATTCTTAAAAATGTTAGCCTCCTCCTCTTGACTTTTGCCTGTTTCAGGAGTGATGCTTCTGGAGACATGTCTCATTGTTTTTTCCTTGTATTGTTTGAAAGACAGCAGGTAAAGCTCAGCTCAGGTTGCTCTTTCCCTCTAATCCTATGAAAGCTGACATTTCCTAAAAGAGCCAAAGACAGACACTAACCTTTTCACTGTATTTATTTTCACTCTTTCCTTGCTGCAGATGATTAAAAGGTAGGTGCTTGGCAGGTAAAACTGCACAGTTGCAATATTTTCCCCATTTTCTCCTTTTGCAACGGATTTGCAGTCATTGAGTGACCTAATGTGTGGAAGCAGGGATTTGTTTGCACTGTGACAAATTCGTGTGCCATTTTAGGAACATCTGAGCTAGCTATGTGCCATACCCATTGATGCAGATGTTTATGCCATTTACCAGCAAAATCTACTCCATTGCTGTTATGTCTCTAACAAGAAACTGAACAAAGATCACTGTGTGGTGGTGAAGCTTTTGGAAGTAATTTGATGGTGGTGAAAGATTATTTGAAAACTTAACTTTCTTGCTGTTATCTTTGTTGTCACCATCTCCGAGTCTTTCAAGAACATTTTGTAGAAGCTGGGAAGTTAGGCAAGTATTGTCATTTTTCAGATAAATGATGGAAAGGTGGCATATCAGATACTTACAACTATGCAAGCATCTCAGTTCTACACAAATCTATGAAATTTAAAACCCCTAAGAACCTGAAGTATGCTGCCTAAGGCTGCAACAGGGTGCAGGGAGAAAATGAATCAGAATTATTCTAATTCCTGGCCAGTGCCCCAATGACAAGTTTGGCCTCATCTTGCAAATAAGTAACTGTATATACCTATTTACATGGTGCTTCAACAACTATAAAGGAAGATCACCTATCAGTTCTCCTTCAGCACGTCCCAGTTCTTTCTGGACTGATCTAGTCGATGAGCAGTTCCTTTGTTGGTCCCATCTTCTGGGACTCCTCTGCTGCAAATGTCAGTGTAAGCATTGACCCGAGTTCTTCTGTGAYCCCAGTAACTGTCCATTCAGAATGCAAGTAAGCCAGCCAAGTGGGTGAGCACTTTAGCACTGGGAGCAACTAGAAGTAACTTCCTATCTCAACTAAGTTTGAGCCTGAGGCTTATAATTGTTGCAGAAATATGACCTTTAAGCAGCCGAGTTGCTTAAATTGCTGTACAGAAGGAAACTATGTAAATAGGTCACTGACTTTTGTATAGTTGCAGCTGCTTATGTGACTACTTGGGGTGGGGAATTAATAGCAAATCTTGTTGTTTTTGTATGGCACAGTGGGACATTTGCATTTTGAAGTGGAATATGAAGTTAGTTGAACTAAACTGYGTGATAGAAATAAGAAATGAGCAGCTGCTGAGTTCAGAGATTTGTACTGGTCTTTTCTACATCCCGATTTTTCCAAATACACACTGATGATTTTGAATAGCAACGTGTTTTTATTGTGGCTAAGTTGGCCTTGACTATTGGCTTTAGATCTTATTTGCATATTGATGATGCTGTTAATTATGACATTAAACCCATTTTGAATTAATGATTAACTGGTGTTAATTCCTTCCAGCCAAATATTTGCCTCAGTGAGTGGGTTATGGAGACTATAAAGTGGTTCCAAAATAGAGCATAGGGCAGAGATTAACGCACTGGAGAGAACAGGGGAAACTCTTCAAGCTGGAAAGTGCTGGTCTGGTCTGGACTGGCCAGGATACAGGGCTGGGAGGAAGATTTGTGCATTTAACTTAAGCTGTTGTGGGGCAAGAGAAAATCGTGGATGCTCTAAGCTTAACAGAAGGTAACTCTAACACTGAAGTGCAGACTGGAGTTCAGCTTTGATTGAATTTGCTGAGAAACCCTGCAACATTGTCATCTGTTGGAACTGATTGCTTGTGTGTTGACGTTGAAAAATAAAATCCAGAGGACACAGAATTCCTTTTGGCAAAATCAAAGCTGTTGCTTTTATCCTGTGTCCAATTGTTTTCTATATCGTGTTGCAGCCAGAATGTTAAGTGTAATGGGCTGAGTTGTGCATTTTTATCATCTCAACTAGTTTTAAAGTGCAAATGTTGGGCAAAAAGAGGATCTAACACTGATCAGAAGTAGACTTACATAAAGAGTATTCTGTACCATCTTCTCCCCTACTAACTCTACTGCGTATCAGCTCAAAGTGACAAAAGCACAGGCTGCCTCCATTCTAGGTTTCARATGTTTGTGACTAACTTGTTTGGCAGTTGGTGTGTTTGGACATGTAGTCTGTTGGTGAAATTCAGGCTCATTTTTGGTTTCACTCCAAACCTAGTGGCACCTCAGATGAGCTGTTACTCATATGACAGTTTGTGTGGGACAGCGATGAACTGATAAAGAGTACCAGRAATCCTCGAGTTGAGCAGCTGGTGGGTACTTTACCACAGCAGCAACTGGCAAGATGGGGTCGTTTGTTTCTGTAGTTACACATGTTGGTGTTGCTGGTGTGCTGCTCACATGCACCTTTACTAACTGTTTTCTTTTTCCTTCTGTGTTTTTAGGGTCAGGAGTTGACAATCCGTCAGATTGCTCTTCTTGGYTTCAGAGACTTGGTCTTGTTAAAAGTGAAATTGGAAGAGATCCTACCTCTGCTTCAGACAAAGCTCCCAGCTTCCATTGTCCAAATGCTATTAATTCTGCAGGTGAGCATTTTTTTTTTCTTTGCTTGATTCCACTTGACATTCTTGCAGTCATCTAAATGACAGGAACCCTGGAAAGGACAGTGGGGACGATAAAGGGTGTGAGAAGKGGGAAGTTGTATATGCATTTAGAGGAATGTAAAACAAAGAAATGATAGATAAATTGACAACGGATAGGATAGTCCTTACCCACGAAAGGGCCAGATTCTAGTCTTTGGTGTTTGTATTTTTCTTCCTATATTAGCTCCGTAGCTGAGAACAGTCAAAGGATTCTTTAGTCACATAAATTGCCCACTCACAGCTTCTCTAAATGCCTCTATATAGGTACTAGGTCTCCAGAACTGTCAACCTTATAATGACAGGATGAGTCTACCTCATTATGGTATTCAAACAAACTGTAACTGCTGACCACATAGCATTAGTCTTCTTCAGGTAGATGGGACACTTAGCCTAGCTTGTAAGAGAAATATCTTTTGGTAGCAGGCAAAATGCTTTAGGTCTTCCAAACACCTTTCCCAAGAGACATAAAACTTCTGCGAGGACTGTCCTTTGTATCCAGATCACAGGAGGATACTGCTTATATCTTGCAGTCATGGCATGTACAGCCAAGTATACCAGATGTTTCATTTTTTAATATGGTCCAGCCTGAGAGACACAAAATACCAGATTCCAGATGTCTCCGGGTTTCATTTCCCCTTGGCTGTAGTATAAACCAAGTGGCAGGGAAAAGTGGCTAAGCTGGTATTTTATACGAGTTATCAATGTTTTAGTGTGACCAGTGACCACAGACTGTAATGACAAGAGCTATTAAAATAAAAGTTGAATTTCTCTGAAATATTTTAGTAAAAGATTTGAGGGAAAAGAAGGTCCCTTATGTGACACACCCCACAGTAGTGAAGAAAAGCTGATTGAGGCTTTGCAGGAAGTAAGACTGTAAAGGCTCTCGTAAATTACTGTTAAATTAGAGTTATCCTCACACCTGTAAGCTGAACTTCAGCAAATGTTTCTCCTGTGGTCTTATCTAGGGTGTGAGATATCCTTTGCCCAAGCTGTGTTAAGGCCTGTCCACAAAGAGATATTTCCTGGCAGAATTGCCCTGATGTCCTTGCTCCACTGTAGTTACACTGTAGTTACATGTACACTCTTRGGGGAGTGTACATGGGAAGCATGCCCAACAGCTTCCTATCCCACGGCCCGAAGAAGACAAATGTCTGCTTAGTATCCACAGGAGCAGGGTTAGGACTTGAACAGGATGGTCAACCTGAATAGTGCCCAAAACTCCTTTGGGGGCAATTAGCTCTGCTTCTCCAAGTGCTGTCCTGTTCCCTGTCACAGAGCCAGCCTTTCTACTCAGGTACCAGCAGAGAGCTGCACTGCTCAGTGCAGAGACATGCCCTTACCTGGAGGGGGATCCCAGCCCTTCTGATTCCTAGAAGTCATAAGCCATATATACAGATATATATATGTGTGTGTGTGTGTGTGTGTATATATATGTATATATATGTATATATATGTATATATATGTATATATGTTTGTGTGTGTATAGATATATATTCCTATATGTATTTATGTTATACACTGTATAAATACTGTATTCAAAACTATCAAAGCATAATGTTGTCTTTCCATGTTGGAATTTCAGAGTGTYCATGAGCCTACTGGCCCCAGTGAGGGCTATCTGCAGCTGGAAGAACTGGTCAAACAGGTGGTATCGCCCTACTTGGGCTTGTGTGAGGACCAGAGCTTCCCTGGAAGCTCCTGCTTACTTGGTAAGACACACTCTCTTTCTGGAAGCTCTTGCACACACTCATTAGGGTAGACCTGTTGTTAGTGCAAGGCAATGCACAAGACATTCTGAGCATTGTTTTTTTTTTTTTTTGAAAGGCTTTTTATTTCCCCTGACAGAGTGATCTGTTATGACCCCACTACTGCACAAACTTGTGAAAAATCCCTCCCCTTCCTGCAGTGGATTTGATTTGAAAGCTGCTGTGGTTCATGTCTGGAGTCCTGACTTCACCCTCCTTTCCTGCCTATTGCCYGTGCCTGCTTGCTAGCAGGCCACCTAGCTACTGTATCTGCTGGACTTCACCACCAGTAAGACTACTAGCTGCTCATTTTGAGAGATTATTTATTTATTTATTTATTATTTTAATGCAGTCTTCCTTCTATCTGGGAACTGTTTAAAAAAAAAAAAAAATCTGTGTTTAAACTGTGAATAAATATTCCAAGGTGAGAGAACTGGCACTGTGCTTCACGAAGGGAATGCTTGTAGCAGAAAACTTCTCCACACATAAACCAGGAGAGCAGCTTACAAATGGGTCCAGCAAGAAAAGATTGAGCAGCCTGGAAATGAGTATAGCGATAACTGACTTTATGACCAAAATTTCAAAAGAAGTGAAGAAAGCTCCAATTCTCCCTCTGTTTTGCCACACTTTATAATATTTAGGCCTTGCTATAATAAAATCACTGAGGACTTCAGATATCTGCAGACACACAACCTGTCTTTTGCTACACCTTAACAGCACAGGGGAAGTTGGCCAGGTAACAGCAGAACTTAGTAGAACTTGGGGTGTCTGTGTATGTAACAAATTCATGGCATGATTACAGGAAGACCTGATCCAGAGGCTAGAGTGAGACCACATCCCTCCCATAAAAGCAGAGCCTGGGTAGATTTGATTGTTTGGCTGCTTGTGGRTGACTGCCTGCTGCTGGGATAGTTTGGAATATAGAAGCCTGACTTATTTCTAGCCGTTATGGTTTTCTTCCAACTGAAGAAGCCATTAGTATTACAAAGCAAGTCACATGAACTGGTCTTGTAAAGTTTATGTCCCTTAAAATGATTGCATTTGCTTTAATTTTTAGCTGTCATTTTTAGTTGTGTATATTTCCCAGGTAGCCTTTTGCCCTCGCTCCACCCTGTGCTGAGCAGGAGGAGGAGAGGAAGAGCTTGTGTTTGCATTACCCAACACCGTCAGCAGAGTAGCACTTCTGCAGATAATCTTGTTATTTTCAAAGGGCTTCCGTGATTTCTGATGCTGAGCTTCCAGTTCTAATCAAATTTTTGCTCTTCCTYGTTCACTCTTTGTCATCTCTGTACTTTCTCAGAACCAGTTTCTTTTTTCCCTGGGCAGTCCATAGCAATGAATCTCAGTGGCCTCCCTGCCATACAGGGACTCTGTAGTAGCTTTTGTGAAGTGCACTTCTGGGCTTTAGACATATTTGCATTCCCAGTGCATGTTGTAGAATSCAGGCCTCCCTCTGGATTGGACACCTCAAGATGAAAGAGCATTGAGAAATGTGGCACAAGGAGGCCCCTACTCCCTGCTGGGCTTCAGCGTGTGTTAAGCTAGATTTAAAGTGGGAGGGGYGTGCTGCAGGAATCCATGTGAAAGGGGACCTGACAGCTCCCACAGGGGAATTGTAGCASGCGGTATCCCCACCTCCAGCAACAATTTCTGAAGTCAGGATGRAGCATGGGAAGAGAGCTGGACCTAAGAGCTGAAGTTCGAGGAAGGAGGATGAAGCTGGACTGTGCCTGATTAGCATAGGCACGCTCTTCTCAGCAATCTTTTCCTTAAAATTTCTAAAATACTTGAAAAGTTATTAAATATGTGAACTAAAATATTGCAACAGTTAAGAAAGCAGTGCCTGGTGTCATTGAGAAATGTGGTACGAGGRATTTGTCCAAGACCTCTAGCAGAGTGGGAAGTCAAGCAGAACTAAAACACCAACTCCTGCATCATTCTTCATTTCAAAATCACCTCTGCCTTACTCCTTCATAGTGTTGCCTTTCACCAAATTCCATTTGGCCTAATTGCCCATGCTGTTGGATCTGGGGGAAAAATGTCCTTATATAAACCTCCAAAGGAAAGAGTTCCTGGTAACTTGTGTTGCTGTTTTAGTAAGTTGAGAGATTGAAGATGTAATTGAAAGTATATAATACTGCGATCTGACATCCAGATCTCTAAACAAATTAAAGAAGGCACTACAAAATCTAAATTAGGAAAGTATGGTTATATAATGCCCCAATAAAATGGTCTTTCTACTTCTTCCTTATCCTATCTCTGTGAAATGAGTAACCTACAGTTTAAATAGCCCTAGCAAATTCCAGGAGACTGGGAGAAGCACTGTGATTTTGCAAACTGACCTTTTCTGTCCTTAGTTAACTTTTTGGCTGTCTTATTCAGTCACCTGGATTTAAAGCATGATATATATTTGAGCAGCACTTTTATCTCAAAAGATCACGGCTGCGAAAAGAGCCAAGTGAAATAACACTGTTTCTAGTGCAGAATGTAGCAGCTTGGCTGAAACAGAGAAGCTCATAAACAAGCAGGAGAGCAGTTAAAGTTTTATTTCTCCAAAATAAAGTAGGTGAGGATTTTTCCGAGCCCTGGGGATGAGCTCTTGATAGTGGTTGCCTGCCATGGGAATGCTGCCCGGCCACTGGGCTGCCTGCAGGCAGGGGCACTCGATGCTGACTGGCCAGGGTGAGGGCKCCCAGCGCTCGCCCAGCGGTGTCTGCCCCGCTGCTCGCCCACGTTTGTGGGTGCTGCTCAGCTCTGCACTGAGCCCAAGTGTGTCTTCACTCGCACTGCAGAATGTCTGGGCTGCAGGAGGTACTTTGGGGTAATGGGACCCAGGACTTCTGTTTTGTTTTTCACATAGGAGGCAGTTCAGTGCTCTTGTTTCCATGCTGATAGAGCTCTGGGGGAAACTGCAGTCTTTTGAATTGCTTTGTTTCCCTCCATAGCAAAGTTTTTCCAATCTCTCCATCCACATTCAGATTAGATTACAGAAGTTTAGTAATACCAGACTTTGAAGCATTGTGCTTTTGAGTGTATGTACACACATGCACACACCTATACACAGTGGGTATATGCCTGTGAGATGATGAATTTAGACTGGCTGGTTGGTCTGCAAACTGCCACAAGGGTTGATGTCACTGATAACACTAGCTGACAATTTTATCACGGCTACTGAAGAGGTAACAGAACAGGCCCCTTCCCAGCTGAGGTGAAGGCCGGGGAGCCAGGCTGGGCAGCAGTCATTTTACATTATTGCTTCCCGCATTGCTCCTAATGGACTTTACTCTCTCAGCTCATCACATTGCCTTTTTCAGCAGCACTGAAAACTTGCACACTTTTTTCTCAAGGGAATATTTTTATGTATTAAGCACACATCAGGACATGACTACAGCTTTTCTTTCTGATCTTTCTCTTTCTCCTGTTGTTTTTTGGGGTGGAGGTGGGGGGGTGGGAAGGGCTCTTAGTTATCCCTGTATAAATGAGGCCTATTTTCATTTTAAATGTGCTGTTTGGGAAAAGAGAAGAAGAAAGATTCTGCCCTTGCCTATAGATCTGCAGTAACAGTCTGGAAAATGCTTTTTGCATGGCTTGGTTTAGTTGGATTTGTTCAGATCTATCAACCTATCTAAGATGGCACAGCTGAAGCCACTGCAAAATAGCCACAAATTTAGTATTAATTCCTGTGGAGGGGGACTGCTATGAACCACTATGTAAGCCAATGTGTTTGCTTTTTCCTCTCAGTCCAAGACCTACTAAAGCTTCAAGCTGAGCAGTTCCTAATGTAGGACACCTGAATACTTCTAAGGATCTAGGTCATTCAAGTTACAGGTCGATRACTACCCTCACCATTGGTTTCTCTCTTCTGGTGTCTAATACTTGACTTTATTAATGGAAGTCAGAAATGAAGATGCTCTGGTGGGGGAGGCAGAGAAGCAGCTGCTGCTAATTCCTCACATGCCGTTTCAGTCTTGTCTACACTAAAGCAGCCCCGTGCTACGGGCTTGGCTGCTTCAGGTGCACCTGCCGGCGGGGCGGCCGGGAGGAGAGGGATGCCTGCGTGCCTCCCTTGTGTCCCTTAGCACTGCAGCCTGCTAGGCACTGAGCTCTAGCGGACACTTGAAGAGCGTATTTACTGTTGTCACTGACCTCAAAGTTTATTTTAATGTATTCTTAGCAAAAAAAWATATATATATATCTTTTTGAATGAATGTATTGCTGGAAGCTGCAGGGCGAACTGCTTTCATAGCTCGGCTGCTGCCAGTGGTAGAGTTTTGGCCACTCAGCCATTTCTCCCTGTAATAATATAGAGTTTGTTTTCTGCCTTTCATACTGATGCAAGCTTCCAAAAAGTGTTTCATAACCTTCAATGCCTGGTACTTCTGCTTTGMATTTTGCTATTCTGTCGCTTGTGCTCTAAAGTCTTGGTGGAAAGATTTTACATGGTCTAAAAGGCCCCTGAATTAATGAATTGAGACCTTGCCCTTTCAGAAACTGAGAGGCAGACAGAAGGATAGATAAGGAACAGCCTGATGAGCTGCTTCTGTGAGAGATCACAGGAGATGTTGAACCATACATAGCCGTGCTGCACAGCGGCTGCAGGCAGCAGACAAGAAGTAACATTGCCTGATTAAGCGTTTAAGGGGAGCAAATTACAGAGAGGCCAGGACACAAACTCGGACCTCTGCTTGTCAGTCTTATCAATGTTGGAACGGCAATGGTGCTTCATGATGCAGTGCTGGGCACTGTGCCTTGGGCTTGAGTTTTACACCAGATTTCCCTCTCCCCCTTTTTTTTTTCCCTCCCCCTCTGAATGCTTTGCTGACAGACCTTGCTTAGACCCTGCGTCCCTCCTGCAGTGGTGCCGTGTTGCTGTGCAGCCTTGGCAGTGCTCTGCCAGTGCCACGTTCTGCCTCTGCACCTTTTCCCCTCTKCATTCTGGTGCACACTCGGGTGTTTGCAGTGTCTTGCCCTAAAGCACCCATGTTTCAGAAGTAGATGAATTGTGGGGGTTTTGTACATGGTCTTTAGAAAGTACAGTGGGATGGTAGTAGCCAAACAAATAGCCTTTCTCTAGGTAGCTAGAATGGTGGTGCAATGTCAGGAATTTCATAGRCACCTGCTAATGGCATCTCTTGAGACAAATTTTCTAGAGAAAGGGGCATCTCTTTATGTTCTCACTGAATGTTTCCTTGAGGGCAGATTTTTCGTAAGTGAAGAGTAAAAAGTAAGAGTTTGCCTCTCCAGAGGTCTTGTTTCCCCTTTCTTGCACCAGTTGAGGATTTCGGTGAACAACCACCTGAGAGTTCCTGCCCTTCTCTCGCCCTCCCTTTAAGTAAGAAGACAATCAGGGCGCTAAAGGAAGTCTTGTTTCTGTAACCACCACTTTTCATCTCGCTTCTCTTGTAGGTAGCAGCACTGTTGCTTTAAAGCAAGATGGGAGCTTTATCCCTACTGAGGAGGAAACAGAACTGCTTTCAAAACCTCTGGCAGGAAGAACTAAACTGCATTTGAATGTTCCTCAGGGATAATGAGAAGGGGAACCCAGCGTGCAAGTGAATAGTGAATACTACCTGTGTCCTGCRGCCAGCCTAGCAGCTTGGCACAAGGCTTCACCTGTACCTTTCTGATCACTCCTGCATTCCTTTTTGTCTTCCAGAGAGACGGTACTCCAGATTGCGTCCTAAGCCTGGTATTCTGAATTATTCCTCTCAAATGGTGACGAGTCGGCAGCCCAGCGAGATGGCTCTGACACCGCTGACAGAGCAGGAGGGTGAGGCTTACCTGGAAAAATGCGGTAGCATTCGGCGCCACACAGTTGCCAATGCTCACTCTGATATTCAGCTCCTGGCAATGGCCTCCATGATGCACACAGGAATGGTCATTGAAGARTCAGACAGTAACGAGAAGTGCCTTCTCCTGCAGGCCAGTTTCAGCCACAGGCAGTGCTCCAGTGAGCCCAGCATTGCTGACGGGCCAGAAGCAGTCATGGCAGCAGGTAGACAGGACGCTGCAGAGCTGAACTGCACCTCCGTCAGCTAGAAGAAGTCTTGCTGAAGAGACAAGAACTGTGTGCACTAAGCTGGAGAAATTATCCTGTCATGTCCCCTGGGGAAAGAGGAGAATATGATCTTGGCTCACGTCATTGAAATGTTTGGGTGGGGTGTCTTAGGTCTCTTTGGAAATGCTCTGTAGATTTATGTTTCCTGACTTCAGTCATTGTTGATGGAGGTACTGGACTGCTCCTAGACAAGCACTGAGGACTACAAAGGTTTCATTGCTGAACAYTGCAGTCTGTCTTCTGCAAACTGTCTTCCTGTACTGGCCCAAATCTTTAGGCCTCCATTTCCCTTCTGTTTCTTTGGTATGATACAAATTGGCCTCATTGTGCTTTTGTGCATCTTTCCCAAAACTGCACTGCTTGCTTGCTCTGCGCTTCTGTAGCGGAGTGCAGTGTTTAGCAGACTGCTTTAGCACCTTCTGTCTGCCTCTGGCACTAGGATGGCAGTGGCTGCATTTTTGAAGTTGAACTCAGGCGTAAACCCTGCATCTTACAGAAAAATCTGTTCCAATACCTTGTGAGAGAAGGAAACCCTTTTCTTCGCCTCCCCTGAGCACAAGTAAAAAGTCCAAATCTCAACAAAGCTGAACTGAACGGGATATATGTGGAGGCCCAAATGAGTACTGTATATGTATTTTGTTTGGTTCCAGTGGTATCTTTAGGAGTAGTAAAATAGGTGCAAAGGCAGGAGAGAGTGTGGGCAAAATATTGAGCATTTTGGCATTTATCATCAATTTTCCCTCCAAAGTTTAGTTGGGCTGCCTGAAACGATATATCTAAATGGATTCCTTCAAAAGGGAAATTCTTWACAGAGTCTGCACTTCTGTGTGAGGAAGACATAAAAGTGCTTGTCAAGACTGGACCATCGTGATTGCAGGGCACAAGCTGACAGAAGGATTTCATCCTTGGGCCTTTCTGTTACCTCCTGGACTTGTGGATTTTGTGAGACCAAAGATAACCAGCTATATGTAGAAAGGTATCTTGTCTTTCCAGCATACCCATGAARTACTTCTGGCCTTCAGTGGTGTTTGATTCAGTGCAGTATTTCTTTAGAGACAGCCCAAGAGCTATTTGCAGTCTTTGTTTTAGTTTCAAAGATCAAAAGTGGGCCCAGTTCTCATGAACTGCAAGTGTGCCTGTGTCAGGCACCGCAGTCCTCTTTACAGCATTGCTTCGTACTCAAACACTGCTTCTGTTGGAACACAACCAATCTGTTTGAGCAGACCCCTGGGATGCCCTGCTGGTGTCTAGCTAAGCAGATTTGCAAGTGTAATTACAGGCTTAGAGGTGAACTGAATTGCTGCCCTAAATGTCAAATCCCATTAAAAATGTGGCTATGACACCACGGCCACTAGAATCCTGTCCCTGTGGTACTGACTATAAATAAATCTATCTTGACAGGGAAAACAGAAGACTAGATGAGCCCTACAGGGGCTTTTTTTTTTTTTTTTTTAACACATGCTATTGCTATGCCATTAACTACAGGACCTGTCCCATTCTGTTTTCGGCATTAAGCATCATATGCTCCAGTGCCTGCAATGGAAGCACAGCTCAGACCTGTCAGGATCTGGGATCTGGCTCTGGCCACATGTACAGCAAAAAGAAGGCAGATCAGCATCTTCTGAGGCTCACATTTGTCGAAAGGGGTGTTTGGAAAGTTGTGCCTTAGCGCAAACCACTTTTGAGTAATCTTTCCTTTAGATGAACTCTAGACTGCATTGCCTTCCTGTTTACAGAGTGGACTGATGAGGCCAACCCAGGATGGCCTTGGGCTGGACTAGGGCTGCATGGCCTCTGCAGGGAGAGTAGGGCTCGGGAGCGGGCACTAGCGCTGCCTCCGTGCGCCGCCTCCAGCGCTGGGCGCCCRGGGCCGTCCCGCTGCAAGGCAGTTCTGTTGGCCACGGGCAGGGATTTATTTATTGCCTTGTCTTCGCCACAGTCTGGCATGTGGGGAAGTGACCGTTCTGCAGGATTTCAATTCATTCTTACAGATGCTTTTCTTCTGTTTTTCCTTTACYCCATTTCTCTTTTGCAATTATTCAAGCCACTTGGATTAATGAGTACATTCATTTTTTATGATGAGAATGATTTATTTATTTCCTGACACACTCTTGGATCATCATYTCTGGGACTAATAGGAAGCTAGTCCTGGTTTTAACTTGAATTTCTTTTGTTTTACATGTATGTATAATTTGTTTTGATTTTGTATTGGTTACTTCGCAAAAATTTGCACGAAGCCACTCTGAATCATGCACTTCCCTTTTGTTTTGAGGGAGAATTAAAGCTGGTGGCTTTCCTTTGTGAACTGAAGTAAACAAAACTTGCTCTGTAAACAACATTGAGGATCTGATAATAAGCATCACTTTTACAAGCATTTAGGATGCACAAGGCTCTGGGAGCACATAACATTTCCAAGCTACACAGGTAAAACTGGAAGTGCCTGGGAAGCTGTGCCCTGCAGCATGAGGCTGGCGCGGAGGAGTGGTGCTCCAGCRGGACGCAGAGGAAGGACCACGCGTAGCGCCGCAGCACCAGCACTTGCTGCAGGATCATCTCTGCCGCCTTAGGGTAGGTCCCCAAAAGCAACTCTGCCCTCAGGTGAAAGCTGTGATATGAGAAAAACTGTATTTTCCTTGCCAGATTTTGCTGTGAGGCTGGTGTTACACTTCCTCTCAGCTCCTGCCTCACCCAGCTGTGCTGGAGCACAGGGCAGGTCTGTGCTGCTCCCGGTAGCCTGCTGCTGGAGAAAGCCTCCTGGTAAGATGTCAGTACCGGGAGAGAGGATTTCTCTCACCAGCTCCACAAGTCTGCATGTTAGCTTCTAATTGGATGATTATCTAGATTATGTCACTTCCCATCTTATCAAATCTTGCCTCCCTCTGCCAGTTTTAGTGCTGTCTTCTCTTTTTTTTAAATAAGTAATTTCTTCTCTGCGTCCTTACAATTCTGCTCGTAAACCTACTGAGAGGTCCCAGCAGACTCGGGCAAGCAGGGTGGTTTTATTGCCAACAAGCTGAGCTGCTTCAGTCCCCTCCTGGGTGAGCAGCCACCCAGTTTATTTCTAACTTTTGTTTGTGAAGAAGGCCGCTAAATCCTGTTGCGCTGAAGGTGCTGGTGGTGCTGCCAGCATGGGAACTGCAGCAGCTTTGGAACGACTCATGTAGCATGTTGCCCTTTCTTGTTAGCTCCTAGTGGCAGTGGGTTACCTGGAGAGGAATATTTTTTTGGATGCTTACAAGTCTAAAGACTGAAAGCTGACTTTTTGAGACTGCATGTATGTTAATAGAGATTATTCCTCCCTAAACATCTGTTATAAACTAATCGCTAATCGTTGCATTTATGTATCATTTATATGAACTATTTTTAAAAAAAAAAAAAACTTCTGATGTAAACCCAAGGTCGCCCGTTTGCCGTGGGGCACTGTCTGCTTGATGCAGCATGGGGAAGAGTAACCTGCACACTGGCTGGCTGTCCCGCTTTGCTGCGTGCRCTGTGTGGTGCAGGCAGCTTATGGGCCATCAGCCTGAGCAGGAATTGGCAGAGCAGCTGCCACAGGTGCTGCCACGCAGCCCAGAAGCTGCCTCCTAACTGCACTGCCTGCCCCCTCCTGACAACACGTAGCTCTTTCCTCGTGCCAGCGACCAGGGTCGTGGGCTGGGGACACATCTCATTACCTGCTCTCAYGTTACTAGGGCAGTTCTAGCAAGAGAAGGGGGATTTGTGTTGTAACTTGGTGAAAGTTGGTGGCACTAATTTGCACTTCACTGGCCAGTGCCAGGAGTCTATGTCCTATGCTAAGAGCAAAGTATAGTGCCCGTGCACAGCTGTTACTGCGCCCAAAGCTGGCCTGCAGAAAGAGGCTTGCTGTCTGTGGGTCTCTCTCACACTCAGGAAAAGTTGAAGAYGGGCAACTTTTAGGTATTGATGCAATGTAAGTGAAAGCAAGTTTCTCTCCTCATTCACAACCGTGAAACTTGGGGGCAGATGGAGATCTGTTAAGCTGGGGAAATTCCAAGCAGCAGTAACCTTTCCTTCCTACTTTCTTCCTGCCCCCACATTTTCACACCCTCTCACTTTGCAAGCTGAAGATTGGAGCCTGGATTCCCCCTCCTCACTTTGTGCTAGAACTGCCACTACCCCACCAGGGAGCCTTCCCTTTGTCCTTCCCACTTCCATCTCCAGCCTTGTCAACTCTTTCCCAATAGGGAGGTTATTTTGTACAAAAATAAATTATGATGGCTGCATAGGAGCTGCACCAACACCTTCAGCAAAGCAAATTACAGAGCAAATTAATCCTGCTCTTTCCTCTCTTCTAGGTTCTGTAATAACTAGAAGCCTCCAAGTGCTGAGTGGAAGCAGGAAGCAGTGTCAGAGGGCCCCCTGCTCTGGGCAGCCCCTCACGGTTCCTGCTGCCCTTTACTGTAGGCCCTGGCCTGTCGCGTGGCTCCCTCCCAGCCGCAGCCGGGCAGTGCAGGACAGGCACAGAGTGGGCATGGATGTGCCCCTCCTCGCTGCGCCGCTCTGTGCTCCTTCCAGCAGGCCCATGAGCTTCTGTGTCGTTAGTGGCCAAGCCTCAAASAGGGGTGGAGAAAGGTAGGAAAGACTGCCCTCCTCCTAGACCCTGTGCTAGTCTGCCCTTTGTGGTAAAGTGCCCACTCAGGAAGGAAACATGCCACTTAGTGAGCTGTGAGTCAGGTGCCAGGGCTCACTGAAGAGGTGGGAGCTCAGACTGTCTGCTCTGTCCTGCTGCCCCCAGGGAGGCACTGCTCYGTGGAGAGTCGGAGGCTGCCCGAGCAGGCAACGGAGAGGGCACGTGTCCRTGTCCTGCTTCAGGCAGCCACTGCACCTGGGCTGGGAGATGGGCCAGCCCTGGCTAGCTGCATGGTGCAGTGTGCTCCTCTGTGCCCCTGTGCTCCCCCGTGAAACAACTCAGCCACGGACTGCCAGAAAAACTACCCAGCGTTTAGAGCTACGCACTCTCCTGCCAAGTGGGAGAGCTGAGCTGGCTCACGAAGGGGCCGCAGGGCTTGGCACGAGCATCGGCAGCCTCGGCCACCCGCCCGCCCAGCATCGCCCTTTGGAGCCGCGCGGTGGGTCTGTGCAGCTCCGAAACCTCCCTGGGAGCTGGGTCCTGGCTGTGCCCGTGGCAGTCCGTGGCGGGGGCGGGCAGTGCAACCTCGCGCCCRCAGGGCCCGGCGCGGACAGCGCGGTCAGCGTGTGCCCCGCTGGCGGTCTGGCTGCGCGGGCGGCTGCTGCGTCCTGCACGGAGGGAGCGGCCTGGCGGCAGAGCTCAGGAAACCCGTGACAGAAAAGTGAGAAAACAAGCACAGGATGTGTCAGGAAAGTCCTTGACCCTTTGTGTGTTGTCCAAATTTCCCATCTTCTGTGCACTGTATGTCCCACAAGTCACAAGCTAAGGATACTGCTGCGGAGCACAGGCAGCTGTTGTGGTATTCAGGGAGTTTCCCAGAGGGAAGTGTCCCTACTGTGGAGCGCTGGAAATTTGGCATATAAAGTCAGGCTGCTGCTTTCCCAACAGCGCTCAGGCTCCCTGGGAAGGCTGCACATTTTGCTCCTGGAGTGGGCGGAGTATGGATAGWATTTGGTCTTTCCCTGAGCAAGGAGGAGATGACTCGTCATCTTACTCATTTTTCAAACTGGCATAGATCTGGCAGCACAGCAGCAGCTTAAATGGGATTTTGTTACTTATCCAGCCATTGAGAGAGCACTTGCTGCCCCCTTGCTATCACAGCAGCTTGTGGCAGGGGCACGGAGCACTTAACTAAACCAACAAAAGCTTCAGAAGGTAAACGCAAGCTTTTAAAGGGGCTTAGCAGTTGGAGCAGCAAAGGAGCAGCCTGGTCCGCCTGATGCAGCACTCAAACGGTGTATGGCAACTACTGCTTTGCACCTGGGAACTGGCCGCCTTTCACTCATGTGCGACTGCACCTGAAGACACAGGGAGCTCAAGCACCTGTATGTGTTTTACTCCATCATTATTTCCACCTGGGAGAGTAAGTGTGTCTAATTGCTGTGTCAGGCTACGTGCCTTTATGCAAGTTAAATCCTTCCAGGAGCCGGGTTGTGCCAGAGGCACTTTGCCAGACCTAGTGAAAGCTGCTGCAGCACAGAGGCAAGTGCAGGTCAGGGTGTATTAGATTTCCTTCCTATAGAAGGAAATAGTGATTCCAGTGAAGAAACAGTGAGCTGGAAGTTCTCCCTACTGGTTCACAGTTGCTAGCTGTACAAGCCAGGATGCCTCTAGGCCACTAAGAGGGTGAGTGTGCACAGGGGATGCACCTGTGCACAAATCGGCATCCAAAGTAGCTGTTCACAGCCTGTGGCTTTGCAGAGATGTGAAGGGACCCTGAAAGCAGGTAAGTGTATTTTTTTTTTTTTTGTGCTGCACGGGGCACAACATATTGCTTTTACTTCAGAAAACTGGTTCTTAGTGGGGAAGGAGGGCCAAGGCCCACTGACGTGGACACAGCCACTTGCACAGCCTGCRGTGAAAGGCGGCGTGCAGGCAGACGGTGCCGCTTTCTGGGTCCATGCAGCTCTCCTCAGAGAGCTAGGTAGGGTCTGTCTGCAGACGCTCATATAGCCAGGTTTAACTAAATAGTGCAGCACTCTAGATGTAGCAAGTGGGTAATATTGATCATAGGCTCGTGTTGAGCCCTACGTTACTGCCCTCCCAAGGGCTCATAAGCAAGAGTTCCCCTAGGTATAATGATGCGCACTGTGAATGGGGAGACGTGAACCTGGGCAGTCTCTGGGTGTGCACTACAGCCATGAGAAGTCATCCTACCCCAGGACGGAATGCTACCGGCTGGCCCTGCAGCGAGCCCCTCATAGGCTTCTCTAGCATCTGAGCAGGCTACAGCCTTGCTGGAAGGGCAGCTTTTGGTTGCAGTAACTGCCTGTGAAAGCAGGTCCAGCAGGATGCTGCCATTGTATCTTACTTTTCCTTCAGATTCAAATAATAGCTACAAAACCCTGCAGATCTGTTAGAAAGCTGACTGAAAAATATCGCATTAAAAATGTGGATGGAGGATGTCAATTATTGAGGTCACTGGACAGCAGAGGGCTGTCTTATGAGAAAATTCTCCATTGCCCCTTTTTCGGAACGCGTCGTACAGCTGAATCTTAGGACTTGGAAGGGAAGTAAGGAACTGTTATGGTTAAAKGCGCTGTAAACCATCAATTTTCATATTTGAAGGTCAGTCAATAATAGATCATAGAAACAGTCATGGGTATTGCTAAAGGTTGAAGGTCATGCAAGAYGAGGAAAGATTTGTTCCAATGTCCTTTGCAAGCAGAAGTGCTTGTCTGTATACATTCATTACTGTGCCACTTGCCATCCTGCAGTGCTAAGCCATCCATCCGCAGGACCTGCAGATCTGCTGAGGGCTGGAGCCAAGGTAACTGTTGACAGAGAACTTTAAGGTGTCTTAAAACTAGGTATTGTAAGACCAGGTGTAAATAGTTCTGCAAAGAGACAGACATTMGGTAAGAATTTTAGTGCTAGAAACCATTAAGCCCACAAAAGGAGGGCATCCTGCTTGTAATGCGCATTTCCCAGGGAGTGTCTAATAGATCACAGAAAGTGTTTTGCTGGTGAGGAGCCTGCCTTACCATTTTAGAAGCTAGCACAGCTTTCTGGAAATACGATGTCGCTTTGCATTTTAGGAGTTAAGTTTAATGTCTTGATAAGAATCACTGACTGAGATGGATGCAAAGATGTTGTGCATTGAAGAAGTAACAGAGAAAGACGGCGAGTGTGTGAGTGGATGAGGTATTTTACCCCATACGTGTCTGTGTTCCYGCTTTCCTTGTAATGGGCTGTTTCAGAGGCATCATCCTCATGTTGCCTGCACCGGTGTGTTTTCAGGGAGCTACAGATCTTGTCCAGTGACTGTAATTAAGCTGCAAGACCTTTAACTGCATGCTTGCTCACACTGCTGCCTGAAATAGCCCTTGTCATCTCCAAAATCTCCCTTTTAATAAGATAGTCATCTTGATTTGACAAGTAAAATTCAGCCACATTGCACTAATTGTAGACCCTTCAGTGGCTTGACCCAAGCAGCCTAGTTAGGCTAGCAGTCACAGAGAGGAATATTTATGTGGAAGACGAGAAGAAAACAACTTGTCTTCACTCATGTGCATGGCCCATAACAGAATTGGCCTAAGTCTGCAGAAAACTGTCTTCAAAGATCAGGTGAGACAAGGTCATCTTGTTGCTTACGGTAGCATATTAAAAATGAAGTAGGTTGCTTAGAAATTGGTTTATCAGGAAAGTGCAAGAAAACTAAGACTGCGATTCTTGTACAGATCATTATGGGCTTCTTTTAGAAAGCTATCAATATGCTACTGATAAAGCACTACTCTCTCAGTGTTGACCTCCTGGTGCCTCAGACCTTTCCCTTCTCAACATGATGAGGGATGACAGAACACCCATGAGYGGCCTCCACCTTGGTTTTGCTCCAGGCTGGATCTCTGCGGGGCAGCTGAGCTAGGTCAGAAGGGCTGGTACCTCATTGAGGACTGACGAGGGATGTGGAGCTGGAGAGGAAGAAGAGGTGAGGAAGGCCATTCACAGGCAGCCGAGGGAGGCCTCAGCCAGGGCTGTGTGGCAGCCTGAGCAGTCACCAGTGCTACATTAGTGCCAGGACGGGCTGGAGCACCAGTTGAAAGGAAAAGATGGCTCATCAGCCAAGGGCTGAACTGAAGCCAATAGAGAAATGAAATTTTGTGTCTCYATCTCTGCCTCTCTCAGAGGCAGGAGTTTTAAATCCCTATTTGCCAACTGGAGAAGASAGCAGAAATAGCTTCAGATATGATGTGACATGACAAGCAGTGCCTCTATGCTTATATATCTATAACTTTAACAAGTGAGTGAGAAGTTTAACACAATCAGGAAGGAAGAAGACACAAGGGCTTCAGGTTCAGAAATGTAGTCCTGGGGTCCCTGAGGTTGCTCAGCGACTGTGGGCCTGGCCATTCCTCATGGTAGCTTCAGGCTGCAGGGGCCAAGCAGGGAGGCAGGGCTGAGTGGCGTGTCCTGCCTTGGGCTGGTCCCCCGCCCGCATAACCCTTTCCTCTGTGACCAGGGAGAGCAGGTTTGGGATGGATTTTTTTTTTTTTTCCCTCTCTAGTCTTCTCCTACAACATACAAGAGGCACAATTCATCAGCCAATTGACTCATTTCATCTCGACAGGCCTAGTTTTCCAAACTTAGTGTCTGGACCCTTACCCTCCTGCTTTATTAACATTACCCTCCTGCATTATTGCCTTTTTTCCCAGCCCCAGGTGAGAGGAGCATTTGCCCCCTTCACCTGAGCTTATGCAGCAAGGCTTGCTTTTCATGACTCTTGGGTCTTGGAACAGGGTAAATGCACATACGATCTGAGGATGCTGAACAAGAGCTGCATCCTGTACCAGGGAACGTCCAGCACTGAATTGCATAGGGAGCTTTCTTTTTCCAGAGGMACACCTTTAGTGCAGGACTATTGCTCTTCTGGGAACGAAGTCCCCGGTCACATCTCTTGCTGTTAACTGCCATTTATCCAAAAGAGAGTATCAGAAAATTCTGCTCCATTCTTGTTGTTTCACTACCAGATCCCCAGGTCTATTAGTATATAAGACCTATTTTCATGTATTTCTATTTATATAGACATGGACATACAAAGAGGTGATGACATGTACATTTTTAGAGCTGTATCATAAGCGACAGTGCTGTTACAAGAATGCTTACTGTATTATCAGTTACACTAGTTTTATTTTCTCCTGGCAATGAGACAGGAGAAAAAAAGCTAACAGTACCTGTTCAGAAACTACATCTTAAGTTTAAAAGTAAGCAAACACTGTATGATAGACAATCTCCTGCAGTATAAACCAGCCAACTCTCAAACCCACTTGAATGCAGAATTATAGCACCTTGGTTAATCTTTCTAAACAGTCCCTGAAACGAATAAAGATACAACTCACAATGCATAGTTTAATAAGTTTATTTTTCAAAATCCTGTCAGAGAGAGCTGTGCCTCAATTAAAAAATATATTAAACAATCTATTGATACTTCCCCGAGAACAAGAGCACTTCCATTCTGTTCAAATGCAATCAACATAAACTGTTAACAGTGATCTCAGAATATCAGTATCAGCRATCATTGTATTTGACCAGAAAAGCCATTCTAATTTTATTTCATTGGCAAGTTTTACCCCTTGATAGCAAACATGACCAGGCATCTCATGAGACCACCTAAAAAACAAGTCTATAAATCTTATGTATCTGAGCTCCAACATATCAGCATTTTAAGTAAAATAGTTTGCCCTGCCCTGCAGGGAGAGACATTTAGAGGCAAAATGAAAACACATTTACAATATATTAGGCTTGGAAAATTTGTGCCATAGCAGCTTTGCAAATACATATACTAAGAGTGTCTGACTTTACATAAGTTCAAGGCAATAGAAATTTGAAAGATAAAAGATGTCACTTCTGAAAGATAAAAGAAGTCACCTTCTGAAACCCCTTGAGATGCAGGAGCGCGGCAAAGCATCAACAGTTACAGAGCCAAAGCACGCCATTGTCCAGAGCCAAACAAGACACTGGTTCAATCCTCATACTGAGGGAAACTTATTCAGGCCCCCCCAAATCCACTCTGCATTTGCTTTAGAGACAGTTCTCAAGGCTGCATACCCTTCTGCTTCTATTCAAGTATTTCTTGTTATTATATCACAATTCACCAGATGATTTCTGATTTCTCTAAAAAGCAATGAGGTTTGAAGAAGGCGGGGGGGAGCTATTTTGGTGAAAGTATTTGTTCACATAGGAACAGATCCTTTCAGTTCCAGGCCTGAAGTTGGAAGCCAGGAGGACTACATGTGAGATGGCCAACAGCGAGACTCGCAAGTTCTTTCGTTAGCTGGAAATGATATTTTAAGAGTGCCCTGGAACCGCAGTTAAAACAGAGTAGTCTGAAAGGTGGGGGGAGAGAGCGAAAAGTCTAACAACAGAATGAATAAACACTTGCAATTTATCCAAACAGAACCATTTTAACTGATAATTCACAAATCATTTTTGTATAAAACTCACATTAGAGTAATTTGGCATCATTCAGAGTTTTTCCTGGTAATATTAAGATACAAACCCAGTAAAATAGCAGCAGTGACTAAAGCATTCATGTTACTGTGGTCAATACAGTTATTACACACGCAGTAGCTTTCTATGTGCTATTGGGTTGTGCGCAGCTGTACAATACGAAGCTGAATCACCTAACCCCCCCCGAAGCAGCCACCAAACTGAGCCTCCTCCAAGCGAGGGTCCAGCAGAACAACAGAGCGCCCCAATCACAAATGCAGCTTCTTGTACTTGAAGGTTCATGAGCAAAATTTTTCAAGAGGAAAGTATTGGCACTTAGTGGAGCTTGGTTATAAACCCCTAGGGGCAAACGAAGAGCGTTTGTGAGAGTATCTCTGAGGCTGAGAAAGAGCTGAGTCAGGTAGAAGCTCAAGCTACAAAACTTCTTCCTTCCTTTCGCCCGAGAAAACAAACAAAGCAAAAACCAGAGAACTACCATCCTGAAACAAAAGACTGGAGAACTAAGGTGCAGTGTCAAGAACTGCCTTCTGTGTTTACTAGACCTGGGCACAGTCATATACATTAGAAGCCCTTGGTTAAGAAAAGATTTAAATCCTAAGAATGCCATAACCAGAGACACTCTCAAACGACTGAGCTGATAGGTTGAGGCTATTCCATGTAGCAAACTACTTAAGACATTTTCAAAGACATGTGCTTTTAAAGCATTACTGTATTTTGAGTAATATGGCCTTCACCTGTCCTCCAAAGGCACAGAATTAGTCTAAATAAAGCTGGCTAAACACACCAGTGAGACTGCCTGCATTTACCATTAGCCAAGAAGCTCAGCTTTCAGCAGCTGCAATACTCCACTGAATATAATACCTTCAGTTAATAGGCTCCATCTGCAAAACAAACTTTAGTCAGCAGGATATGATGAAAAAAGTATTCTGCATCCTAGAATTTTTGATCTCAGGCAGGTGAGCAGAGAACCCCCGACATCAATACACCATAGGGCTCTTCAGTGGTCTGTGTACATACGCAGTATGCACTTCCTGACTGACGATGCTCTCCGGATTGCTTATGTGTGACTAAGTACCAGTATCTTTTCCGCTGCCAAGTCCTAAGTCTTTCACTAGTTGATTGACTACTTTGGAGAAATGATGTAGAACATTTGTGTAGAACACAGGGCTGCGGTCCCCTGCCTGTGCCTGTGTGCTTAGGTTCTGGTGTGAACCATTCTTSCCTCCCCCTCTCCCTTTTTAAAAGCAGAATTCAGAACTTTTAGCTAGCACCACAATAATTTGGAAACTTATGTTAGCACCAGGGAACTCAAACTACTGAGCTTTGACTGGTCAAAGGAAATTTATATAGCATGTAAATATGCAATATAGAAAACAGTAGCATAGGCAATCTTAGGAAGCTCTTAATTCTTTAAACAGCAAGCCTAGTGCTTGGTAACCAGGCCAGTATGGACACCAGAGCTTTCTTCTGCAGAGCAAAGAGCGTTGCCCTCCTTCCCTCACACTAACTGGAAGCCTTTGCTTCCCCTCGGGAACATGGAAGGTGGCCCAGCTCCTGTTATTGAGTGGCACAGAGACGCCCTGGCTCGCAGCTGGCCACTAAGAAGGAACAGGAGACCTCTGTGCAGCCCCAGACACCGTGGGATCACCTGAACAAGTGCAATATTAGGCCACAACTTAAACCCTGGTGAAGATTTAGGATTGACCAACGGCACAAAAAAAMCAGGATTATCTTATCCAGGGAGTACATGGCATTACTTTGGTGGTGCAGCCACTCATAACCTCAATAATGTCCCGCCGCAGGGAGGAGGTCCTACCAGTAGAGCAGCGTCCTGTTCCAAGGCTCTGCGGCCCCTCCAGCCCCGCTGCCTGGCACAGCCGGCCTGCAGCACGTGAAGACGGCTCGAACGGCAGCCTCCCGCMCGCCGTCACCACGGCTCTGCCACAAATGCCAGCGGCAGCTCTACAGCAACATGCAGCTCCCTGAGGCTACCTCGGCAGGAGGGCAGGGTCACAGCACGTCGGCAAAGCCTTCCCCTGATCGCAGCTTTCACGAGATGCACGGCCAAGTCTGAACTCCTGACGAGTCAGTATGGAAACCATCTCAACCCCATGGCAAATTTTCCCTGAGATCAGTAAAACAACCCCCCCAAATCCTCAGCATTATTAATTTAAATATCTCCCTGCTAGAGGATAGGAACATCTACTGCAAGGCACTGAGGCACAAAGGTTTACAGATCTTTTCTGATGCGACTGTCTCAGCAAGCAGAGCTGTCCAGGTATTACGTAGGGTTAACCTTTGTGTACTGACAGCACTTCACTTTGTTAGCTTGCCACCCACCGTAGGTGTGAACATTACAGAAAATGGTAAGTAATCTTTAAGCATTTGACTGGAGAATAAAACAGGAACTTGTACAGGAGACATCAGGTTCTGTTCAGGTGAACATCAACCACATCAGCCTGCAGACATGACAGCAATTCACACACTGAGTCTTAAGATCTTGGCACACCGAGTCTCCAGAAACGAGGAAGGCCGCTTGTAATCGGTGCCGGAACGTGCCGAGCGGCTCCCTGCCTTTGCGGAAGGCTCTAAGGTTAGACAGCCGCATCAGCACTGCGAGCTTGAAACCCCTCTCTGCGGAGACTGTTCAAGTCCAGCCGCGTTAGGACCTCGCAGCGCACCAGGAGGGTGTCATCCTTTACAAAGGTCCTCTGCTTCAGGGTTTGCAGGTGCATGAAAGTCACGTAACCAAAACCTTTTGGATTGCGGTGAATCGTAGGTCTCTGGAAGGCCAGCAGCTCCGGCTTGGCTTCCATCACTTCTTCATGATTCTGCCTGTCGGGTCCTTCTGACTGATCCAAAATAGAAAGTCGTATCGTGCCTTGGAAAGGCCAAGGTAGGTGGCTGTCATACTCTCCTTGCATCGTGTGCACAAACAGAGATATGAAGTTAGCACAGCGCTGAGCGCTYGGTAACTGGATGTGGAGGCGCAAGCACAGCTTGTAGCCAGGCTTCCCAGTATAGAAGCCAGGACTGTGCATCACAACAGGTCGCTCTTCTTCCTGGGCTTTCTGAAGTCCACTGAAGTTCTCAATCTTCCAGATATAGATGCCGTTGCACTGCTGCGCCTCCATTTCGGTGATCTTCCCCTCCAGAGTTCGGATGGTGCGTTTGAGCTCCGCCACGTGACCGTTCTGAGTCTCCATCTTAGCGATCAGCTCTCTGATTTGGTGATCCTGCCTCACCAGGCGCCCTTCCAGCTGCTGAATAGTTTCCTTGAAGGTTTCCACGTCTGGATTGCAATCGTACGGGGCGTGCGGAACGTGGGAGAAGAGGGTCGGCTCAAAGGGCAGGCCATTGATGAAGGGGACAGGATTCGCAGCCGTAACACTCATATTTTGAAAGCTCTGAGCCATCATTCTCATGTGAACCTGAGTGAACTCCTGCATGTGTCGTGCCTGTTCGTTCCTCTGCATCTGGGATTTAACATGAGCCACAGCATTAGGAGCATCAGGAATTGATCTGTGATCACAAGTTTGAATTGGTCGTGAGGAAAGTTAACCTGCTATTTGCTTCTCGCTTCCCTTTTGGCGGAGCAAAGAGGATCAATGTCAATCAAGGACAGCAGTATGACAGAGAAGCATCTTACCACGGCAAGAAACCAACTCACCAAAGGAAACAAATAGCGAAATGGAAGAGCTACAAGTTACAACAGGCAACTATTTCTCAGTACGGGGGAACAGCAGAGGAAAAAAGAATTAGGAATGTCCCCATGCTAAACAAATACGTGCTGTCTTTCAGTGCTCTGACCCAACTTGGCATCCTCTTCGCTGAGCTGCTGCAGCGACTTCTGGATCCCAAGTGCAGTAAGAGGTAAGGGAGCTCCAAAGAAAATCCCCCCACAACCTTTCCCCAACGACTGCCAGGAGAAACACGCTAAGTCAGTGGGCTCTTCACTCACACTCAGAGACCACTGAGGTTTCATTCAGTGCCCACTGAGGGTCTTTGGCCACAATGAGAAACAATAMAAACTTCTGGAAAGGGAGTAAAAGGGCAGAACAAACACCAAGACRACAACCCACCAAAGACATAAAATTAATTGGCCACAGAGACAGATGTTAAATTTGTGTGGCACTTTCATAAAGGCCTGTAGTAAGTCAAGAGTAACTATCCATAAAATAAAATAATAAAAAAAGGTTTTCTTTTGTGAGTTTACATTTCTGTATTTCTGCATTAATACCATTTGCCTAATAATCCACAAAATCTAAAACYACGAAAAGTCTACATCGATCTAACTGTAGCCTCACAACTCCTAACAGCACCCAAAACTGCTCTACAATCTCTGAACAGCAGAAATAAAGAAAAAAAAGGTGACAAAAATGCAAAACATGGGCCTAAATGTGTGAGAAAGGCACTCACCTTCTCTGGGCAGCCAAACGCACTGTAGAAGCAGGGCACGGGTGCCGTGGGACAGTCGTTGGCATAGTGGTTGGGCATCTGCAAGARACGAGAGGCTGTGTCACCGGGCGAATGGAGAAACAAGCCACACGACAAACAAGCGCGCGCCCTGCTCAGAGCCAGGGCTGCACGGCTGAAAGCGGCATTTGTGTGGGGCTGCGCGTTCCTCTCTCCTTCCGAGCGCGCGCCCCGCTCCTTCCTAGCGCGCGCCCCGCTCCTTCCTAGCGCGCGCCGCCTTTAGACGCACGCGCGCTGCGCGCGCCCCTCTCCTTCCTAGCGCACCGCCTTAAGAAGCGCGCGCGCCCCTCTCCTCGCACCCCTCTCCTTCCTAGCGCGCCCCGCCTTAAGACGCGCGTGCGCTGCGCGCGCTCCTCTCCTTCCTAGCGCGCCCCGCCTTAAGACGCGCGCGCGCTGCCCGCGCCCCTCTCCTTCCTAGCGCGCGCCACCTTAACAGGCGCGCGCGCTGCGCCCGCCAGTCCCTAGCGCGCGCCGCCTTTAGACGTGCGCACGCTGCGCGCGCCCCTCTCTTTCCTAGCGCGCGGCCCTTTAGACGCGCCTGCCCTCTCTGTGCTCTGTGTAGCGTGCATGCCCCTGTTAGCAGGGGTTGCCCCTGCCCAGCGCTCGCTTGCGCCGCACCCAGCCCCTCTCTTACCTGCTCCCTGATGAGCACTGTGTTGCAGTATTCACAGAAAACATTGGCCAGTGGACACGTTTGGTCATGCAGCTTCATGATGGCAGAGAGGCAAAAAAACACAAGGAAAGGCAGAGTTACCCTTGCTGGCAAAGGTGATCCCCCTATCCTTCCCAGCCCAATCAGTGTGCCATTTCCCCTGCTGCATAACTGCTTCCCATTGTTGTCTTTGCTGTGTTTTCCAGCAGCCAGAGCCTTGCCTCGGTACCTCCTTATCCTCGTAAGCGAGGGACGTGGCGCAGTTGGGACAGCAGACCTGACGCCTCGGACACTCCTGTGTCATGTGCTCTTTGATGTGGTTCTTCTGGAAGGAGCCTTGGCACTGCGGGCACTCCATGGTGGCGAAGTCGCACTGCAGCTGGTGCTCCTGAGCAGGGCAGAGGAGGGTTTGACGCTGCTCAGGGGTGCAGCCTCCCTACTATGCATGCACCCCAGAACAGCCTGGGCTGGGACTGCCAGCGCCTGCATCCCTGCGGGGACTTGGCTGGGACAGCCACTCACAGGCACCCTGCTAAGGTGGCACCTTCCCCACGCCGAGCGCTCGCAGGGCCCTCTAGCACACTGAGCTGCACCCCTAGCGCTACAGCAGTGTATTTTTTTTTTCAAAACCATCAACTATTTCCATACCATCTCCCTGACTGCTGTGACTACRCTGACTACTCCCTGACTACGCTGACTTCAGGCAACTTGCATGCTGATGAAGTCCACTGAAAAGCTAGCAGGTATTATGCTGAAGGCCAAGCGGGGAGACCATTTTTTGTGCGCTATGTTGTTCACTTAGCAGTGACCTAACTACAGTTTCACTAATGAAGAATACTTTGGCTTGAATGAACAATATGCTGAATGTGCATAAACAGCTACCAGGGACGACCACCTATACCAAGTAAATTTGAATGTTTTCTTTCCCAAAGTTCCATATTTTCAAAACTCATTCTCACCTCTAAATGCCTCAATTCCATCTTCATACAGCAGCCCTTGTTGGGACACTTCACCATTAATGAAAGGATTTCTCGTTTAGCAAAGTTGTCAGGAAAAAGCTGATTCTCAAGCAGAATTTCATTGTCTACTGGACATTTGTGACCAGCATCCCTACAACACAGAAAAGAGAAAGATGGACACAAGGGAAAAGAGATTCCAATTTTCCTGTACTGTACAAAGGAAATCAAATAAACTGCCAAGACACAAGTTCCACTTGGGGTGGCACTATAGCGACTGCAGCATTTTTCCAGTGCAGTAGTTTCTAGCTAGGCAAATGTCCTGCTGGATGCTCTGCCAATAAACCAGAGGAGGATATAGACAGGCTGAGGGTCCCACTTGTGTAAACACTTCACACAGCTCTAACATCAACTGCAAACTGTTAGTTATACATCCTTGGACCTTTCCTCCTTTCTGATGCACTTCAAAAATGTGCTGCTTTCTTGCAACGGCCAAGCTGCTCCTGAGTTGGTCCCCACAGCCACCTCTTTCTGCATCACATCCATGTTCCAACTAATGGCACTGCCTACGGGAGCAGGTGCAGTATCTCCTGCCATCTCTGCAGCGAGCGGCCGCAGGGGTAAACGCAGCAGTGAACAGGGCTGGGGCTGAGGGGACGCGCAGGCGCACGGGGCTCGCCCGGGCCACCACCCTGTGCGGCTCCTTGTCGCGCCTGGCGGCCTGCACGTGAACTCGGGAGTCACCAAGAGCACAGGCAACGATGGCCTCCTGCCCTGCAAGCTTCCTTAAAAGAAAAGACACCCCACATTAGCTAATTTCTGTGAGCAATGAATCAACACAACCCAATAATACAGTTAAGGTGCACAAGGGCTCAAAGTCTGAGCTTCACTAGTAATGGAAAATAGCAATAATATGGAAAAATGCATGGGGTGGAAAATAAGATCAAGAGCATTTCTGGCAAATAGATCAAATGCAAGGTCGTTGCTTCTGCTTGCAAGGGTGAAGAGAAGGCAGAAGCTGGTGGGCTGCAGAGGACAGGAGGGAATTTGTGATCTCTGTGGGATAAGGAAAGAGCTGGTCAGCAACTACTTTGTCAGCAAGAGGAAGTGGGGAAAGCATAAGATGTCTCCAAAGAGACAAGGAGCTTCCTTCCCAGGCTTCTGCACTCAAGAGCTCCTCCACCACAAGCCCAGGAGCCRCTCCCCACAGACACGGAACGAAGCAGCGGCTCCGCTCCGCCACCGCCACTCCAGCACCTGCCCCCAAGGCACAGCAAACTACAGGCGACCAGACTCAGGGCATTCTGTACCGAACAAGATCCGAGCTTAAAAAGCTCCTTTGGTAATTGACAGCTTTTCAAAGAGGGGGAAGGAGGAAAAAAAAAAAAAACAAAAACAAAAACAAAAAAACCCAAAAGGCAAAAGGCAACCCCCTGCCTGACCCCTAGCTGCAGGCACTGCAGCTTCCCCTGCTTGGCTTGGGCAATTGGACAATCACGGCCATCGTTCCCAGGCTACACTAGGGCTGAACAGCTACTCAGCAATTCCTTGTCCACCTGTTGACAGCTACATTCCTCTGTCCTAGTGGTGAGGTGGGGAAGAAAAGCAGACAACTTTTGTCTTGATCAAAAAAAACAGGTTGTGAGAATCTCTTAATAAACAAATAATATTTAATGAAAAAAGTCATTCTCTGTTCTCATTTTATTTCAGCACAAGCTTCTCCATGACATCAATTAATACTGTACTATGTAAAGACACTACATCTCCCAAATCAACTGTCCTGCCCAATTAAGCATCCAGCCGAGCCCTTGCACTTAGAGCGGTCTGATGCTTGAAGTGCTCTGCTCTTCTCTCACATGCATCTCTCAAACTGATTTCAGGTGAGACTGAGGCAATATATTGGCTATTAAAGATCTGAGACATCTATCTACAGTCTCCAAGATGAAGAAAAAAATGCCACCTGGTTCAGTATTCACTGAAATCCTTAATAATGTCCATAGAGAGAAGTGAAGTAAAAAGAGGAAAGGGTGTAACCCAAGCAGGAACTTCTGGTTACTAGCACTGATTATGGACCTGCAGGCTCTCCACTCATTGAAAAGGGAAGGGAAACCTTTTCCCATGCCTGGGGTTTAAGGAGGAAGTTTTTCTACCTGCTACAAGATACGTTACCTTCTGCACACAAACTTCCCGGGGCTCCTTGCTAGGTACTGTGGTAAATTCCAACTCACAAGCGTAACTTTGCAGCACGTTGTCAGAAGCAGAAGAAAGAGGGGACAGCATCACCTCAGTATGAAGGTTTTGGAAGGCTGCAAACAAGGGCCCCTTTGGGGGTAGCCTTTAGTTCCCTTATTCTCCCTATGCCTTTTAAAGCTAGGTTGTCTTTGAAGTGACTGGTAACTAGACATTTCTAATGCTGAGCAGAGTTGAGCATTAATTTACCTTCAGGATTTGTAGACATCACACTCATGGGAAGAATCGAGTTTAAGAAGAAGACAGAAGTTGCTCTTGCCAAGAAATGCTGCAAGTTCAGAAGTAATGAGGRGCTTGCAAATTTAATGGCCTTCATTAATACAAAAACTTACTTTGGAGCTTACGAGCACATAATATTCTGTCCAATAGTCCCTTGAAAGAATTGAGGCTGGAATATGCAGAACAAAAGCTAAAAAAGTAAAGTCTTAGTTTTAGCTGCTTGTGCATTAGCAGTTGGGTATGCACTCAGAGCTGACTTTAGGTTCTTATATACGTGCACACCCCCAACACAGGTTYACTATCGCTTGGCTAAACCCTATATTCTCACTGAGATGACCTGCAATTCCTTAGGTACACTAAGCTCTGCACTTGGGCAAAGTCTGGCTTGCCACAGGCGCAGCAGTGTCCTGAATGAGGTGGGGAAAGGTGCCCTCACAGCACAGCTAGCCGAGCACTGAGCACACCGCAGCTTCCCCAGCTGGTCCAGGAGATGGGCGCTTTTGCACACTYGAAACATTCTGTGTTTTCTGGATAACCAACCTGTACCCTTTTTCTCAAAAATATCTATTAAATTAATGTCAAAAAGAACTGTGCTTGCAAACAAATGCAGTAAGGTTTAGCATTTCCTGGAAAGTTACCCACCCTTTTGCTATCGCAAGCAGGGAACGTAAAATTAAGTTCATGTTTCTGTGCTCAGCTCTAACGCTTTCCTTCTTGGAAGGCCAGAAAGAAACACCATCAGCATCAGATAGAACAATGACAGCAGCTACAAAGAAGCCCATGAACACACAAAATACTTCATTCRGAAAACACATTTGCTGGCATACAAGTAATTTATGTATGCTGCAAATGCYGACCTGTGGGTAAATGAAACTGAAAAGAACTACAGATGAATGAAAACCCAATGAAGAAAGCACTGCCCATTCTGCATGCTAGAAAAGTAGTGCCTGGGAAAAAGTAGTGCCTGTGAAGAAGAGCGTTATAAGGTAGTGCTGAAAACAATTTCATCATCTTATGCACAAAGGTGTGAATTAGGCAGTTACCTAATTCTAGCGTGTTCAGATCTAAATATGCACCTTCAGAGATCTAACAACTGCAATGATCGTATATGTACAGCACAGGAGAGGAATTTAAGAAAAAGAAAAACAAACCAATTTCTACTACTGTAGCATTTGAGCTAAGGGGGTAACTATTTAAAAAATATCTATACATATATATACATATATATGTATATATGGTTTCTGCTGAGGAGTAAAGCCCTAGAGCACAAGCCTAACCTGCTGCTGCATTCCAGTCCTTGCTGACAGGAGGGAGATGACGATGACTGTACCACACTGCAGGTGTGAGGGGAGCACATTCCACCTGCCACTGAACCTCCCTCACTTTCAAACCACTCATTCTTTCCAGCTCCGACTCTTGGCTTCCACATCTCATTTCCCACTGCCCTACTTACCACCTAGGTAGCTTTTAAGCAAAGCTACTTCCTTTCCTTCAAAGCAGACAACTGCTAAAGGAGAAGAGAAAACAGGAAATGCTGCTTCTGCACCAAGAAGCTTTAAGGTCATTTTTCAAAAGGGGCTTGTATAATCCTGGGTTGAAGATGGAATTCATTTGGAGAATTTGACTACACGCTTTTTTTGTTTGTTTGTTTTTAATTTAATGCTTTCTTAGTCAAAATTTTTTACTCACAACCTGGGTCATAACCTTTTTTACTCACAACCTGCCTATAAAGGGCAAAAATCTACTGTACTTGCAAGTTGCACAGTGTAGAGTGTTTGYTTTTTAGGATCTTTACAGGAAGATTCCACCATACATCATCACCAAGGATTCTTTAGTGGATTTGCCTTTAATSCATTACATAAAGCAGCTTATTTCTTCTAAAACAAATTTTTAAGAAAGAGGACTAACATTCTTATTTTCAGGCAGACACTTGGCCAAATTAAGTCTAGCAGAGAGACAGCTATTCCTGCTTTATTAAAGCTCACAATATTTTGGCTATATGTGGTATTTATTAGACAGCATCTTTATTGAATTATACCTGCCTCCAAGCTGTCCTTACTTTGGCAAGTGATTTTTTCCTTAAAAAAGCAAATCCACMTATTTTCCTTTACCTGATCGATTTGATGATGCAGCCTTTGCAAAAGCGGTGTCCACACGGTGTCTGCACTGCTTCCCGAAGAGCCATCAAACAGATGGGGCACTCGTATTTGCTTTCCAAGGGCGGATCAAACTCCACATCATACCCTTGCGTTTCCTCCGTGAAAGAGCTCGGAGGGTTCCCRGCCCCACTGCCCACGCTGACGCTGTCCTCCTTGGCGCCGGCGCTGCAGGCACTGGCCATGGCTGCACAGCAGCCGCTCTCCCCGTCCTGGGCTCCACAGCTGCTCTCGCTGTATAGCAGGCTCATAGCGAACCGAGGGCCACCGTGAAACGCCCTGCAAAATGACAAGAGGCATTCATTCAAATATTCCAAGACTCTACTTTGCAACAAGACCAAGTAATTTCTACTTCTGAGCAGAAGCAGCACCTGCTGCAGAGTTGGATCTGCACAAGATCACTGGTTTTGTTTCACCCCGATTTCTGTTATGTATCTTTTTACCTATCTTGTGCAACACAGGATACAACATCGCAGTCTGCCAGCTCGGCTCAAGCAGAAACACACACACACACACACACACACCTTTTCGCTATCTACTTCATCAGACTACCTGATTTCTGTGAATTGAGGAATAATGTCTTTCCTGGCTCTATTTACTGAAAATACCTCTTCCTCCTTTCCATATTATTTACTTCTAAAACATTCAAACGAAGTTTTGCATGACAAAACATTACRTACATTCCTTGCAATGAACAAATGTCATTCAACATCTTTTGCACAGAGGAATCTGGGTATAGGTTTCCAGTTATTCGATAACACCAGTTTAGGTGCAAGCCTCCAAACAGCATGAGAGTCCACCCAGCCAAAGCAGGCAGATGCTGTGCTGTAACTGCAATTCAAACATGATACTGCTGTAATTGTCAATAGGACTTTCAATTGTGTCAGAGAAAAAGGTAGTATTTCCACAGCTCAGAAAGCTGACCATGAATTAATAGTTTTCAAACAATTTCCTTGCTCTCCCATCTTTCTTTTGGCTTAGCTGGGAGGGAGGATGGGGGACAGGACTAAGAACAAATCACCCAAGYCACACTTTCCTGGAGAGGAGGGAATAGCACAGCAAAGTCAAAGTTTTAGAATACTGTCTAAAAAGGTGGTTGAACTCACATCAGTGAAATGATAAATGCTGGTATTCCCAAACTAATGCTTCTACATAGAACAAATGAGCAGTAAAGAAAAGTTTAAACAACAATTATGTCATAATGGTAAATAAACACTTCCTAGCCGAGTCCTTGTGTGGTCAGTTTTCTGTAAATGACACTGGGGTAAGTGGAAACTGTGCAGAGGCACAGCGTGAGTACTGCAAGTCACAGAGGGTTAGGAAGTTGGGAACAAAAAAGTAGGTGTCCATCAAGCTCAGATCTGATCTGTTCTGTTGCACAGATGGGGAAAAACTAGGATTAATCACTAATTGCAATGTTGGGGTTGCTGTGTGAAGCTGGGAGCAAGGGGCGCAGGGCTGAAGGGTTACAGCAGCCACAGCTTTCACTTCAGGGAACTTTCTCTTCCTTCACCAGGATTCTAATGTAGCAAGACATTTTGACAAAACATTCACCAATGACAGGAGAGGTAATAGCATCTGACATCTCCCTGCATCCATCCATCCACCCCGCTGTTGCATCCACCCCCCTGCACCCAGTGCTGGTGAAGCTGCACCTCAAATTCTGCGTTCAGTTTTGGGCCCCTCACTACAAGAAAGTAGAAGCCAGGCAACCTGGCTTCTTTCACAGAGGAATCATTCCAGAGCAGAGCTGTCCGGCTCTTCACTTCTGTGCCTTTCCTCTGCCCCCTCAAACATTATCCCTGCACATTATCTAGCACAGCATGAACTATGAACTTAGTGTCATGGAACTAAGCAGCCCCTAAAATTACTTAGAATGAGAAGACAGAGATCAAAAAGCAGAAATATTTAGAAACACGCTCTATGAAAAAAAAAGATGTTTCGAGATTGACATAGGTAGGTCTTTTCTGGAGAAAAAAAAAAAAAAGAAACTGCTTCCCTGATTAAACTGGGCTTTTTTTTTTTT